CGATGTGTGGCCGGTATGGCCCGCCTTTCTGAGTGGCCCCGTTGCGCGACTCTCAGAGGCGTCGAAGATTCGAAGATTCCCTCTGCATACCCCAAGCTGCCTGGAAGCCATTTCCAGCGACCTTTTCCTATGCTGGAGAGCTGATCCCTAGGCAGAATGATCAAGGAGAGTCAGAGTTGGCCCAAATCTGGAGTGCAGCAAAAATGATGTCCAGATTCTGGTCCATACTTGGTCTACCCTAAAACAGAACATCGAAAAAAAGGAAAGCAAACACTTCCTGCCAAACAGGTCCGCACCTGGACGAAAATGGGGTCCAGACTCATTTAAACGGGGCTTGACCTGTCGACCAAGATCGACCCAGCGTCCCGTTGTGGAGCGTAGTGGACCTCAAAGACATGTCCAGCACATTGGCGTCCGCTAGCATCACATAAGGAACCTCAGATTCAGACGCACGCCAAAAGACAAAAACACAAGCTTGGGTCGTCTCTTAAAACGGAATATGGAACCCCCGTTTTAAAGGCAACGGGTTCCTTTTGGTTTGCATGCTTGCCTCAACCAAAAGGGGGTGCCCCTAAAAAAAATCGAGCCACCCAGTCGGTCTACTCCCCTTCGCTTGCTTTGGGCCGTGGACCCGCATTCCGGGACTAAACCAATTGGACGATAGGAAAGCTCCGACTCGGAGCCGAAGAATGGACTTGCTTTAAGATGGGGCCCCCTGTCGATGTTGGGGAAGCCAAACACACACCAACTCCGTAAAATTGGCCGACCGCCGACTATTTGGCAAACCAAGTCCCCCATAAAATGGGGGAAGAAAGTAGATCCCAGGACACCAACTGTTCCAAGCCCAAACGTGGCACAGCTGGCTCCTTGCGAGTTCCGCCAACTGGTTTCGGGGCGCGCGGATCCAAACTTTGGCTGGCATGATTGGATCCTACCCATGGTTCTCGCAGGCTATATATGTATATTATATGTATATATTACGCATGTGACATGTCAGATTATATATACACATATATATATATATATATATAATATGTGTATACGTATATATATATATATATATCTATATATGTATATATGTATATATATATATATGTTGTATACATACTATACATAGTTTTATGTATTGATTTATTTACTTAGTTATTCATTAGTTATTTGTATATTTATTTAATGTATATGTGCATATGTATAATATAGATATGTGTCTCTGTCGTGTCTTGAATGCCGGCAGGCAAAACACACAAGAAGCACACCTTTCTTGTGTCTTGTGAGTACGCAGGCGGGGAGTTCCCAGGCAACTCAACTTCTGAAACAGCCCCACCCTAAGCAACATTGGACCCTCCATTGAACGGGTCAGGACCTCCATTGAAAGGTGTTGGCCTGTTGGCCTTTTTGAGGTCCCAAGATTCTTGAGGCAGGAAAAACAAAGAGGCACGTTCAGATTCTGGTGTTTCGGAACGGTCAAAGAGGAGAATCTCAACCAACACCACAAGGGTTCCGGAAAGTATTTCGAAACAGTTAGGGTTAAAACAAAAGAAGGGTTCAGGGTCAAAAGAAAGGGACAAGTTATCCCAGCACCCAACTACTTCTTCCCGAGTTCTCTTCAACCAATTTTCTGCAAGCAAGCTGGGTAAGTGGCAGCAGACCAACTGTCCCAAACCTTGGGTCACACTCTGACCGGAGCAACCCTGTTTACTATGATGAAGACACCTAATAAGTTATTTCTTGGGCTCAAGTAAGTCGAAAAAAAACATTATCTTCTCGGGTCCTCCGACAATTTGGCGGGGAATGACAGCTTTGGCCCCTCAAGACTTCACTTGACCGTGGGCCATATCGGGAAACAAAAGTAAGTATAAACCGCAAAAGGGGTAAAAACTAAAATTTATTCAAGGGCAATTCAAATAGTGTTAAACACGGCATCAACCTGATAAAACAAAAACAGCAACTTCCAAAGAAAGCATCTCCAAGCGCGGTCTTACGTTACCCACGCCACCCCGCCCACCCCATGGGGGCGGGCACCCGTCGGCTCCATTTTTGCCGACCCTCTTGGATGGTTGAGCTCGCGAAGCGGGTTCGTCTCGTTTCAGGCTACCTTCTTCTTTTGATTCCGGGAAACCAAAAGGTTCGGGGTCCGATTCCCCCCCAAAAAAACACACACACACACACACAAATCCAAATGATTGCTGATGGTTCTAAACCCCCGGAAAGGGGACATAAAACCATAAGTGGGTCACAACCATGCTAGCCGCTTAGCAATTCCTAGACCTAAGTACATGGTGCTCGAAAGGACATCACCCCAACAATGAATGTTGAAAACCCCTAACCCCTCCTTTAGCCACCGAACCACCGCGCAATCCAAACCACCAATTAGCGGGAAGCGGAAGATATTCAGAATTCCGGTGATTCCCCAAAAACCACCCCACAACCGCCAGCCCCCCCCCCCAAAAAAAAAAAAACAACGCGCCGCCATGGTTCGTTTTTTCATTTTTCTCCGCAAAGATCTCTGCAGCTTGGCCGCAGGAAGAGTTTTGTAATTGTGCCACAGGTGGTCCTCACCCCCTGCGGTTTGTCTAAGCCCAGACACCCACAAGATGGAACTCCGCAAGCGGAGCAGAAGTTGGGTTTCTTCCATTTGCTCCTTCGCCTGGAAAAAATGGGGAAAGATGCGTTCAGTAGTGAAATCGATTCCCTTTAAAACCGATAAGGGGACATAGAACATATTCCTAGGCAACCGGAAGGTTTTTGTTGACTTTAGAGGAAACCTGCACTCCCATTGCACCCTTTGCCTTTGTGGGTGAAAGGCACACAAGGAATCGGAGTCGGTGCTTTGGGGGTCCAGGGAATGGAACCGATTCGCTTTTGGTTGACCTCGACTTCCGGGAACCCCCTCCAAAACCAGAAACCGGGGCACTGGGTGTCTGGGTGTCGGGGCCTTGGCGGAAAAAAGTTGGCGGTGCTGACTGGCTTCCGGCCCCAGTCTCGACCGATCCTTCGAAATCAACGGATCCAACATGGCGGTTCAAAGCTCAGATGCCCAGTGGCCAGGGGAAAAAAAGGGCATCCTGTTTTTTGTTGGCTGGGTTTACAGGGAACCCTTCCACTAAATAAAAACAAAAAGGAAGCAACCCACTGGGCAACTGGGTAGACACCCATCTGAACCCTTTCGGAGAAGCCCCGGCACTGAGGCATTTGTTTTTCAGCCGGGCGAAGGGGTCAACACGTCCCATGTGAAAACCAAGCGGTGCTTTGGGAAGCCGCCTGATGAGCAATCAAAACAAACCGATCGGTATTAAAATGGTCGACCCAAATCCATGCAACAAAATCAAGAGGCGGCTGCACCCTTACTACCCTCCAATTACCCGCGTTCTTCTTTTGTGGCTCATGATGTGATTGAAAAAAGGGGGCCCATGTATGGCTGGGAGTATCCCTTACTCACCTTCACCGACCCGGGAATTGTGGCTGTGGCTCAAAGCCCGAGGTTGAACGCTTGAAAAGACTGGTTGAAATCCATACGGCTGGACGAAATCTCCGGGGATCAGGAAAAAGCCTTATAAATTCTGGGAGAAGCCACCTAACTGGCTCAGGATTTTGTCCAGCCACAGTGGGATCAATACTATAAATACTGGGATACACCACCTACACCACCTAACTGGCTCAGGATTCAGGATTTGATTTTGTCCAGCCACAGTATCAACCCCTGCAAAAAGTTCGGGACCAGTTTCCGAGTGAGCATCCCAACACAAGGCCACGCGCGATGGATGGTCCAATGACCGCCCCTCGAATTTGCCCAAATTCCGGGAGTCGCGAGCACCGAAACCGCTGACTTGTGGTTCTCCATGGAACCCTAAACTTGGTTGCTGTTGACCCCTTTGCAAAACTTGCTGCTCAACTCTTCGTGGGTTCGGAAAAGCTAAACTGTTCCCCAATTTTTTTTTTAAGCCAAAGTCCCAAGAGCTGAGCAACTAGCAAAGCAAATGCTCAGCTTCCGTTCCTGTGTCCCCCGACATCACAAACGACATTGGTCGATTTAGCTGATGCTGAAAAAACCATGGCCCAAAAGGAGACAACTAGTTGGACATAAAAACCTAAAGCGGTGCACACAAAATGTGTAAACAATTGGGAACAAAGCCCTATCCCGGTCTCTCCACCTCAAGTTTTGATTGCAGCTCAGTTGGCTCAGGGGACTACCTCAATCACATCAGGAGCCACAGCCACAATTCCCGGGTTGGTGAAGGTTTGTAACTGAGAATCCCAGCCATAAATGGGTGCCTTTGCCTCTTTTTTCAGCTCGCGCCAAAAACCAAGCGCTCCCTATGTGGGCCGTGGCTCCGTTCATTGGATTTGTTCTCGTCCAGTTTCGTCCCTCAGGTCCATGACCATCCCATAGGCCAGCTGCCCAACTGACATCATTCACCGGATTCGAAGTGAAGGCGAAACGAGGGAACTTGCCTAAAAAGATCTGCCATTGGTTCGGGTTGATTAAAGCCACCCTACGATTTGGTGAAAGTACATGGCATATGCCACATGTTTACGTTGTTGAGTTATTTGGCCATGGGTCAAAATCCAAATCGTACCCCCAGTGAACATCAACCAATCCGCACTAAAATAGGTTCTAACATGGGTGGTGAATTCACCTACCCCCAAAATGGTATCCCATTGGTTTTGACCTACAGCCATACAAAATGCTGTCCAACAAGGGAATCGGGCTATCTACTTTCATGGTGCAACTTGCAAAAAGTGGGCGACTCTCTGAGTCCCTCTTCAAACCCAGTCGAAGAAATTGCACGCATCCGTCTTTTTATGGGGGAAACCACACTAAGAGGACAGATTTCTGGGAGCTTTGGAATCTTCAGCCCCCCGGAGAAATGGAATCCAATGGAATTGGATCTGTGTTCAGGGGTCAGGCCACGCTAAGAGGCACCAATGTCTGGAATCCTCAGCCATGGAATTGGGCCAGGGGAGAGAATCGCGGCGAATCGCGGCGAAGTCCAACTGCCTCACATCGCGAACATCGCCACGCCGAGCGCCGCGGCGAAACCTACGGGCTGCGCTGAACTGACCTGCGCTGACTTCCCGAAGAGCAAGTCCTTGACCTCCGGCGCGGTCCCCCAATTTGGGTGCGCTCCCCATGAATGGGATCCTTCCCCTCACCAAAAGGTTGCCAAGCTCTTGGGAAAATGGGTGGTTTCCTGGAAAATGGGAAGATGGGTGGCTCTTACATATGGGTGTGTGTGTGTTTTTCCCCTCGGACAATTGGGCAATGACTTTTTAATAGGTGCTCGATGCCTAGACACTGCACGCGCAGTAACCTCGAGGCCTCTACGACAAGGGCTGCGCGCGCGCGCGCGTATCTGGTCGGACTGCTGTCCGCTTCTCTACCTCAAGTTTTTCTGGCGCCAAGTCGTTCTTTGCCAAACGTATGCAGCTGTTCAATGCAAGTGAAGTACTGGAGGTGCAACATGCAGCAGGCTACAACAGGAAGCATGTGAGCAGCAGTGGCCAACCCGGAAAGGGACCACTGATCTACGAAACGGGCCTCAAGCTTACGCGGGAGCCCTACTCGGAGCCCACGCAGAGCCCACGCAGAGCCCACGCAGAGCCTGAAACAGCCTTGCTTTAAAACACCCAGGCACTGTCTGAGCAGGAGCTTACCGGCCACGCAGCGATTCAAAAAATACCCCTGTAGCCACTCGCTCTCGCGTAGACCACTGCAAAAAATGAAAGCTTCAGACTGGTGTATCATCCCAGGCTTGCCGCTAAGAAACAGACCAATCATGTACCCGAAATGCCTACGCGAGCCCATGCCCCCTGCCTAAATTACCTATGCAAAAATGCTGCAGTTCCCTTTTTGTATTAACAAAGGCATTCATGCTTGAAAGCTGCCCCCCATGTCATGATGTGTCAAATTAGGGAGGAAACCTCCGAAAATGATTTTGGTGGTCGTTTTGGTTTGCAAAAAGGCCTGCCTGAGAAGGGTGCCCTCACAAAAACACATCTGTTCCCGTTTCGGAGGGTTGCTACACGAGAGGTAAAAGCTATGAATGTTTCCTCCAAAGGCGTATCCTGGTTGTAGCTTGTGCCCCATGCCTTGGGAAAATGAGCCCCAACAGGGAATTCCCAGCACGGCTTCTTTTTCGTCACCAAAAAGATACCCTTGGCATCACAGAAAACGGCCCCAACTCCCCCAAGTTTCCACAACCAGGTTCTATGCGCCGTCAAACCTTTCCCCCAAATTTGGGCTGACCACGGGCCTTGAGGAAGGTACGTTTCGTATGTTCCATTTGGGAGGGACATGGCGGACGAGCTCGTTTCAAGCACCAAAAAATGAGGTCTCCGTGGTCTGATTCTGGCGACAAGGTTGGGCTGCAATGTGGCTCCCTTCTCTTTGCCCCCGTAGAGGGAACCCCCCAGGAAAATCGGATCATTTTGGGGGGTCCCCCAAAACAGGATCCACGCCCAAAGAGTGTCCTGCTTCTTTGCCAGAACATCAAGGTAGCAACCCCGGCGAGGGGGTGCTTTTTTCATTGAGCCTTGTGCTTTCGTGGGCAAAGCCAACCGCGAAGTTTGAAACTGAAAGGCAAAGGGCTAGATCTTGTGAAGCACCATGCAGCAGCAAATCTATCCAATCTTCTTTGTCGCTGACCCCAACGATTGAATGTAATCAGACTTGTCACGCCCCAAAAAAACGCCAACAACTTCTCAATGCGCGCAGTCAGAGTGTTCTCAATGCGCGCAGTCAGAGTGGACGTTGACTTTCAGCACAGGCCTAAACAAGGCCTGTTGGTGACTACATGGAAAGCCCTACGCTACTACCAAAAAAACATCATGGCATCAGAGGGTGACAATACTATTGTCTTAGCCTAATTTTGCCTAATGGCGTTGGCATCACAAAACAAAATGATCTGCAAGAATTACCTTAATTAATCACCAACCTGAAGTCAGGAATTCCGAAGGTTGCGGCCTGACATGCTGGTTTCCCCCAAGATAGCTAGGTCCTCCAGTAGAGAGGCTATAGAATCAGGGTACCAACTTTTTTCTTCTTGCTTTAGTCCATTTTAGTAGGGGCTTCCCCTCCCCACCAAAAAGAAGGTGAGAAAGGGCACTACTGAGACACCTAGATAGGGATCAACATGAGCCGAGTGGGGATTTTTGCAGTGGGCCACCCTCCTTCTCCCGGCGCCCAAGACTGCAGACTTGTGCACGTGAGATGGTTTTGCGGTGGGTCCCGATTCAAATCCATGGCCAGGTGTGTGAAAGATGGGGTTGGCCTATGGCCATGGGTCAAAAGCCCGTACCCCCAGTGAACATCCCAATCCCACTAAAATAGACTAAAATGGGTGGTATTATGTCAACATGGTACCATTGGTTTTTGACCCACAGCCATATGACCGCGGATTTTTCTTCCCGTGGGGTGGGATTGGGAGGGGGTGAGGGGGAGGTCCAGCTAAGGGTCCAAGGAGGTACTTAGGCCATTCAGGGAACCCTGTACCCGTTTGGGGGTTGCTTGTTGCAGGAAACAGAGGTTTCACCCACCATTTGGGCGGAAACCCCAGATTTGTTTGCCCCAAATGAAACGGATGCGGAACAAAGTCATTGTTTTTTCTAGAGTTTGGACAACACAACGCAATTGGACTGGACTAATCAAAAGCAGCTTGGGAGGTGGAATTCTTCCATTTGCTTAAGTCGTAAATGGAAAAATGAGAACATGTGTCCAGCAATAAATATGTGTCCAGTCGCGAAATCGATTCCCTTCAAAACCAACAAGGGAACGTAAGAAAATAGCAGCAAGCCCAGTGCTTCCAGGCAAGCCAGATATAGTCATATAGTAAGTAACCCTTCGGCTTCTGCACCTTCAGGTTTCACATTTTCCCCTGCTTACTGTTTGTGGCTAGGTCCTCCAGTGGAGAGGTTAGAATCAGGGTACCCACCTTCTTCTTGTTTGTCCTTTTTAGTAGGGGCTTCCCCTCCCCACCAAAAAGAAGGTGAGAGAAAGGGCGCCTAGCCGGGAGACCTAGAACCCTTCGGTGGCGAAACGCTCGCCTTCCCCAGTCTTGGGACCTGGCCTTCTCTGAGACGTCATTCGCCAGGCTCTGCTCGCACGGCTTCTCTTCCTCGCGACAGAAAGCGCGGTGGCCGAATTCACTGGGGGAGCTGCTCGAAAATCCCCCGGAAACCATCAGAAAGGGTGAATTTCTACCGGGAAATGTCCAGTAGACAAACCTTCCTGTAGCTGGTTTCTGTGGAGTATGGAGCAAGGTTGGTCCGAAAAAAACTCGAGTTTGTCTTCAGATTCAGGGATCATGCTGGTCAGCAAGACTTCCCCCCTCTCCAAATACCCTCTTTTTTTGAATACTTGTTGGACAATTGTTTTCTGTAAGGGTCGACATCATACCCTAAACATGCGGGTAATTGGTGTAGGGGTTGGTCCAACCACCACCGCGATTTGGTGACTCGGGGCCATGGAAAAGCCAACGGCCGCCAAACCAGGCTGGTTTTTTCCAGGGAAACCAGTAGCAAATCCACATCTTGTCCACATGCCTACTTTGACACATGAGGTTTCTCAAAATGGTGCTTCGACCCCCCTGTGCGTTTTGGGTAGCCCATCATGGACCAGAATCTGCACCTATGAGTTTCGGTGTACCCCACATTTGGGCTAAGGTTTAAGTCTTCAGTCTTGGCAACTGTGCCAAGTTCTGAGGCAAAGCTACTTGGGTTGCTCAAACTAGGAATCAGCCCCCTAAAATAGCTTATGGTGTTTCCTTTTGGGTGTCCTTTAAACCAACTCCGTGATTGTATTTGGGTTTCTGGCCAGTTTTCTGTGATACCAAGGGGAGTCCCCTTGGTGACAATCAAGTCACGCGAGTCAACCGGCCAGGGTTTAACCAAACATAATACCAGGTACTCATTCGTTCTAGCAATCCCGCAGTGAAGGGTAAACAGGGGCGCGGCTGCCCTTTCCGCGTTTTTCCCTCAACAGCTGGAAGCTTTGGGGTCTCCGCCCAGATAGGCTCCGGGGAGCGATTCCAGAGAGATTCAGTTCCGCAGATTCGGTTCCAGAGGGTTTCGGGGCTGGGTCCCGATTCCACCTGGGCTTGCTTGTTCATCCGAATCTCCCTGGATAACTCGGGGACTCGTAACCGTCAGCAGACCTTTTCAGGATGAGTGTGAAACAAACCTTTAGCCACTGGAACCCGTCGAATCAACTCCCTTGGTGGACATACTGTGGACGAAATCCCGCACCACCTAAGACAACATGGGAAACCACCGTTGGTGGTATTTGCAGGAGGAATCGAATCCGAAACCGTTGTGTTTCTGAGCGGCGTGTTTTTTGTGGATTTCATCTGTCGAGGCATTTAATCCGACTTTTCTAGGCTCAAAACCCGGGCCCAGACCTGTGAAAACCTGGGCCAGACTTGAAGATGGCGTTCAGGTAAGTTCAGCCAGTGAAAAGTGTGCCCTCAAAGAAAGGCGCACATTTTGGCGTCCCTTTTGGCGAATAGACGGCCCTGGTGTATTTGAATAAACCAACAGGTCAAGGCCAGGTCTACCACGGCCCTGAAACTTTCTCAACTAAGCTGAACACCTATGGACACACACCACTTCAGACCTCAAGGTAGGTCGCTTTTTTGCAAGTCTCCGTCACGTTGCCGAAGGGGATGTCATCGCACCATTCGCTCTTGCGGCAGCCACAGGCTTTCCCTGTCAGGGTTCGCGGCATCATCAGGTGACCAGCTGAGTTGTCAACAAAAACTAGAAAAATTTAGACGTAGGAGTCAAGGCAGGACCTATGTAGTTTTGTAGGCCTGACATATCTCCTTCAAACATCCAAAAAAACTCCATGGGACGGAAAGGGGACCGTTTAGAGTGCAGGAGAAACCTAAAACACCCGTGGAAAGTTGAAGCCTATATGGACTGGACGGGAAATTGCGAACAAACACGGAATTTGAAAAACGTTGCCAACTCAGGCAAGGGTTAGGGCCAAACAAGCGTTTCAAGGCCAAATCTGGCAACAAAAAGGCCCTAGGTGTTACTAAGTTTTCTGTGTGTAGGGGAGAGGGGGGGTGGAGTCCCTGAAATGGGTGACATTTCAACTCAACTTTGTCTTGTATTGATCCTTTGCAAGAAAACTGTCACTCTTGATAAGTCATACACCCCTCTAGACTCCACCACTCCCTCCTAAAATCCTGACCCACCCAAAAAAAAGAGGATACCAACCTCCCAAAAAACCGGAGCCAGCCAGCCCGTAGGCCCTAGGGAAAGCCAGAGCCCCCTTAAGCCCTGCTCCTCGCCTGTGCAGATCCCGGTCGCCGCCACCCAGGAGTCCGTGCCCTTGCAGGACTGGTACCCGCAGCCGAAGCCCTTCTCGCTGGGGGTGGGGAAGCCATCCAAGTAGGCCTCATTGATGCTTGCCTCAAGTTTTTTTGAGACGCCCATGGGAAGAAGAAAACATGTTTAAAAGAACCCGCAAAGAAACACAGAGGGAGAAAAGAAAAAAAAAAAAAAACACGGCGCGCCCGGCGTTTTCTTTGTTCTGGCCATGGCCAAAAAAAAAGAAGTGTGAGCACCCGTGGTTTGGATTGAATTGGGGAACGCCTACAAATACGGTTGACGCCATGGAAGAAGAAGAAGCAAAAAAACCGCAAACGGCACCAGTGGTGGGTTTGAATGAAAGGGAAACTCCCAAGACATGAGACTAATTCTTCCCCATGAAACCAATCTTTTATACCATGGTAGGTGGGGCAACTTGGGTTTGGCCCCTTATAACCAGGGTTGTATTGGCTCCTCCCCACCGAAAAGGGTTGGACGCATTTGGAAACAGAAATGAAGATAGTCCCAACAAACATGAAACAAATTGGCTGTGTCAAAACGTTGGGATATGGACCGCACGCATGAGTCGCTCTTGAGTCTCTTCTTTTGGTGTCCCGGAGCTGGGTCAAGGCTACCCAGCAAAACACGGCTTCCGCAAGGGAAGCTTTAATTTTGGAAACTACCCCGCTTGGTGGGCGTGCCTTTTTTTGAGGGCACCCCTGCTTTTGTGGTTTTACAGGGAAACCAAAAGGAACCCCTAAAACAAGACATGGTTGGCTGTAAAACGAACCCAACGGAAACCAGATTTCAATTGGAAACCAACCCGTTTGGGTGTCTCTTTTGAGGGTACCATTCTTTGGGTTGGTTTCAAGGGACACCGAAGGGAAAACAACGAGTCTCGGTTGCTGTCTGCTCCCCTGCTAAAAAGTTTAACTGTTCGTGGTTTAATGGAAAACTCATCAGTTGACAAAAAGTCAAAGTCCTAACATCCCAAGCAAAATGCACCAAAGAAGTGCAGTGGTTGCCCTACCTTGACACACCCCCATCTGCGAAGCAAAGTCAACCCCTGCCCGGGACGACTCACGCATCGCGGACGAGTCCGCGAAGTCTACTTCCGTGCTCCCCTCGGGTACAAATCCCGAGTTTGACACACACACACACACACACAAAGAAAAAGCGAAAAAGTGGATCCTAAAATAGGCGAACCCCAAACAGGTGGGATTTCTGCAGGTTTCCCTTTAAACTACCCTCCAACAAAAGAGTGTGAAGAAGACCTCCCATTTCGTGATACAAACCACTCATATTGCATTTGTGCTGGTAAACTTTACATGGACAACCTTTGAAACTGGGAGCAAGTGCTTCTGGCTTGGTTATTTTCAAGGGGAAACCTGCCAAAAGTCCAAAAAAACCTTTGGAAACCGTGATTTCAAAGGGAAACCCACCAAACAGCCACAAATACATTTGGAAATCGGTTGGTTGATTTCAATCAGAGTCCACCGAAGGCAGCTAAACAAATAAAAGGCCGCTGAAAAACATGCCGTTTGTCTTGCAACGCGGCCCTGTTTCCATTGTGCCACTCCGGCATGTTCTCGCTCCTATTCTTCGTGTCGAGCAGAAATCGCCACCCCTCCAACTTCAGTCGATCATCCTGCAGGGTTCCCCCCGCATCGTCTTTTGTTGAGGCTATCCCTTTTCTGTGGTTTAAAGGGAGACCCAAAGAAGGAAACCCACTTTTTTTGGGAGTGGGTCTACAAAAAGCCACGCCCGTTTTGATGCTGTTAAATCACCTTTTGCGGCCAATGCAAGGGAGCCAAGGGAAGTGAGCCAAAAGGAAACCACCCGGAGTCTCCTTCTGACCCTTTAAATCAAAATGGGTCAATGACCAACCATTATTTCGGGTTTTCTGACCAACCATTCTTTGAGGGTCAGATTCGGAGACTCCAGGCACCAGCTTTGCTTTCGGGGTCCTAAAGACACCCAACAAAGGACGGAGGACCGCCGAGAAAAAAAAAGAAAAGCGCCCAGTCGAGTCCTCAAACCGTCGGTAGTCCTGGAAGTACAAGCAATTCCCGGTACCGCCCTGGTCGTGGTAGGATCCATGGCTATCCAACCCCACCTTCATGGCCATTCTGCTGCAAAAGCATGTGGTCTTGGGGAGGGCTTGGGGATTCCGGATTCAAAGGGAAAATTTGCTGACGCGAAAGATGCAGGGAATGAGAAATGAAATGATCAAGATAAACCATCCAACTAGTAATTACGAGGACCCTTGGGTTCGTTCAGCAAGAACCCCCCCCAGACAACAAAAAGGAAACCATGGAACAAGTGTTTTGTTTGTTTCGTTCTTTTCACAGGAAAACGACAAAAGGACAACAGCCGGACAACACTGTGACAAAAGGACAAAAGCCGGGGATGGCACATCCAAATGCAAGTGGGCCACATAGGCCACGGGATGCGTGTCGCCCACAAACTCCACGCTCTTTGGGGGCAGAGAATAAGAGCCGCTGTGCTGGTGGAAACGAACCTTCCGGACCTCCAGAGTTCTGCAAATCGGTATGGGTCTGAGTGTGTGTATGAGTGTGTGTGTGTGTGTGTTTGATTCTTGAAGGGTACCATTTCTTCCGGTCGTATGGAAAACCAACAAAAAACACAATTTGCGGGCCCCTTGGCAAAGGTCCATTCATTCCTATATTATAATGTTTAGGAGGAATTGTCTGCAAAAAAAATCATCCTTCGCTTTTTTGTTCATCTTCTGACCAGGGACTGGCTGTTTAAACAAACTGTCCCAACCCTGGTGACTCTCCAGAGTGGGAAAAGCATAGTACCCACTGTATAAGGTGTATAGCCATCATGTATGAGTATGTAGCCGGTCTAGCCGCTGTATGGCCACTATATGGGCGTTTCTCAAAATAGTGGCCCCCAAAACAAGGAGGTCCGAAATCCATTTGGACAATTCCCCATGCCACTATGCTACCCCTGCGATGGTTGGGCCCGGAATTTCGACACGTTTGGTGGGTGGCGGGTGGCTTGCCTCTTCTTAGGAACACCCTAAACAAAAATGATGGTTGTCCTTTTGGTTTCCTTTTAATACCAAGCTAAAAGGGTACCCCCCCCAAAAAAAAGGAAGCAGCTCAGCTGGTATCCCCAACAGCCCCGAAACTTCCTTGAACCGCTGCCCCAAACCACCCGATCTGGGCAGAAACCCCACAGCGTCTGTGGTTGGGGAAAAAGGACACACCGTTTCAAAGCCATCTGCTGGGGGCATTATTTTGACCGTTTCTAGGGGTTTTCAAAGTCAGAAAATGAGTGTTTCCCTTTAACCCATCATTCAGAAGGTGACTTTGTACAGAATCAAGCAGGCGGCCGCACCCTTTGATGGCTGGGATTGCCCCTTACTGTCCTGAATCCACCCGTGTTTTGACCTTCCTTTGTTTTTTCGCCTCCTCAAAAAAAACATCACTAGTGAACTCGATTCCCTTTAAAAACCAAGAAGGACACATCAACATATCCTTAGTCTACTCCTTTAAAATCAACAAACAAAGATTAAACATACTCATTTCACCGGGCTGTCCTCAGATCCCCCGCTAAAAGTTTTAACTTGTGGGTTAAATGGAACTCCCCACTAAACACCACATGGCTAAGAAGCTAAGGAACCGGATGGCTAGGACCCACCAAGTTCAGCAAATGAAATATACATATACACATATACATATATGTATATATATATATATTTATCTGTACATATGTACCAGTCCCTGGGCCACGTACCCCCCCTCCCCCACATCATCTGCATCTTGGGGATGATGCTGGCAATGCTGGGGATGCTGTCCAGTACCGTGTGAGCCCTGCAGCTTCGGTCCCAGACTCCCCCTTTCACCCCGTGAGCCAACACCCCAGCACCTCTCGCAACATCCTACCCTAAACCAAACCACCCTGCAACCCCTCCTTAACCCCAACCCTAAGCCTAAATCAACTTAAACGCCAAACCCACCCGAAACCCACCGCAAACCAACCCTGAACCAACCCTGAACCAAGCCTAAACCAACCCACCAAGCCTAAACCAACTCCGAACCACACCCCAACCACCCAACCACCCCACCACCCCACCACCCCACCACCCCCCACGGGGGGGGGGGGACCTAGGGGTCACGGCCTGGAACATATATATATATATATATATATATTTCGGCTCAACGCGGCCTCGCCATGCACAATCTGCACGGCCACCGTCTCCCAGTCCCCCGGGTGGTCTCCGAAGATCTCGCTCTTCACCGCGTCCTCAGATCCCAAGCCGTCATCTAATGCTAAGGCCCCAGGAAAAAAATGAAAAAAACATGTCCACCAGTGATGAATTCCTTTTAAGACCAACAAAGGTTGTTGATGTTTTTTGGATTTTATTATATTAAAAAACAACTTAGGCAAATGGAGGTCATAGGATAATTTTCAGAAAGGGGTTCAAGAGGAGATTAGTCAAAGAACCATGGTTTGTGGGGCTCCATGTCAATCTGCAGGAGGCTATACCCTGCTTTCGGGGGGGTTTGGGGGGCTAGTGGTTTGGTCGTGAAAACCATCGAATAGATGTTCGAGCGCCCCAAAAAGTCGAGCGCTTGCTCGCCAGATTCGGTCGCCCGGAACAGCTTCCCGGACATGGGAAAAAGAACATCTCTCACTTCCCGAGTTGGTCCCGAAAAAGTCAAGAGGAACTTTGTGTCGTCCACCGAAATGGTCTTCCCGAAAAGCTTAAAAAAAAAAAAAAAAAACTATACATATATATATATATATATATTAAAAAAAAAAAAAAAAACTTCGCAAGGCGCACCCTCAGAAGCCCTGGATGCTTCTGCATTCCAACCCCAAGGCCCGGCCAAGTGGATTTCGTAGGGCCCATCCGCAGAAAGGGGCGAGGCGCTGCTTCCAGTCGGGGCGATCAATGGGTGCAGCTCAAAATTAAACGATCGGAGGGCAAAAACCGCAGGGGTTGGTCCAGGTTTCCACTTACCCAGGGCAAGCCATTTTGGAATTCCGGTTTTTTGAGCCACAGCCACATGTTTGCTGAGAAAGCAGGGCGACCAAAATTGCTTGAAGGATACGTCCAATGATTTGGATCCAAATCAACCGGTAAAAGTGTTCTTGCAAAAGTTTTTATCCTGGCCGAAAGGTATCCTTTGCGGGATGGTGAAAAGCCGGATTCGGAGTCGCTGATTCGCTGAGCATCAAACCCGAGTTTGAGGCACTCTTTTTGATGGCTATACCAGACGAAGTAGTCGATGGCAACCACCTCATCCCCGGCGCACTCCTTTTCTGGGGCATGATGCGACACTCATAAACTTTTGTCAGGCAGTATATTCCTTTACGTGAGGGGTGGTACTGTGGATGGACAAAATCCTGCACCACCTAGGAAACCGTGGGAACCATTGTTTGTTGGTATTTACATCGGAATCATATCATTCCACTTTCTGAACAGTGGTGCGAAATGGACTTCATCCACAGTATGTAAGCTCCTAATAGCATGAGGGTCACACCAACATTGCAAGAACTGCTTGGCAAACCCATTTCAAGTCGGTACACACATAACACCAGAATCGCCAAAATATGACTTTTGTTCGACCACGCCCTCATGTAGATCCTCGTAGTGGTAGAACGTAGGCACCTCGCCGTTCTCCAGTTTCGAGACGTCGGACTCGCAAATGACATCAGTGTGTCCGGCTTTTCTCTGCCAGTACACGTCCGCGGGATGTCCAGGCAAACACCGGTCTCGCGACAAGGTGTTCTGCAGGGCAAGGCTCGTTCGACCGATTTCCGTAGAAAGGTCGTCGAGGGAAACCCGAAGGAATCCGAACCCTGGATCGAGGCGATTGGCCAAACAGATCCATCCGACCTCCGAAAACTTACTGTTCGTGTTGCGGGTTGAAAGGGAAGATGAAGGAAGCCCAAGGGTAAAAAGGATGAGAGTGTGGCGCCGGGACAGAGCGGATGCCCCATCAAAAGGAAAGCTCAGTCTGGAAATGAACCGATCCTCCAAACCCAGGTGTGGCCTTTTGCCAAACGAGCCAGCTTTATTTCACGTCGTTCTTGGGGAAGGAAGCTTCATGGGCTCGCAACCAATGAATCGGCCCTGCCAAAAGAAGGTTTGGAAGACTTACCCTCTTGTCCTTACCCCGCCAAAAAGAAGGCCCCGTCTTTTTGGACGGGTAGAGCTTGCATCAAATTGTCGCTCTCCTTCAGCTTTCAGACCTGAGAGAACAAATTGGTGACTACCCTCCCAATTGAGCGGTGCCGAAATCGAGGAACAAACCGTTTTCGTGGGCACCTTTCGCGATGCTTTCGCGGCCACCACCCACCAACCACCACCCACCAAACGTTTCACTTTCGTGGCTGCATGGGTTTTGTAAGGATCGGAGATTTCGCAGAGCCAAATATTTGGGCGCCGTTTGCATTGACCTCAACTCCTCACGCACTCGTAGAGACACAGAGACAAGCACAGACGGGCAGGAAGAGACAAGCACAAGCAACAACAGGAAAAAATGCACTTTCACGACGCTTTCGTAGCGGGCTCTTCTTCAATAAAACTTTCACCAGCAGGGAACCCGGATCCTCCGTGCCTCGCTTCCTGCAAGCCCACCACGGTGAGCAGCGCTGCCGGGAAAAAGTCTTCGAAAGGAGCCACTTGCGAACAAACACCCCAAATGGAACCCTGCTAAGTGGAGACAAGGCCCAAAACCTGCGGCCCCCTACTGGCTTCATTTTGACCCATACCCATATGAGTGTTTCTCAAAATGGAGTTCGGACCCCCTTTTGGCTGGTTTCCAAAAAGAACCCAAAGGAAACCAACCAACCAATTTAGGGACCGATTTATATGTTGCATTTTTGTGCACCCACGCCCTGAACCAACAGTCATTGGTTGTCTTAAACAAGAGCCTGCCAAGTTAGGCAAAGGACGTCTTTTGGGATGTAGGGGTTGGTTTTTGATGTTTTTTTAGAATCCTTCTTGGGATGGCTTTAAAAGAGAAGCAAAACCACCACTTGAGGGGTCATTGGATTTCCCCTCGAATCAATTTGCTTGCGGTTTCCATTGAACCGATCGCTGGTCCAAAAGGGGGATAAAAATCAAATCTTCGAGTGCTCCCCACCCCCCCCTCCCCCCCTCCTGCCCCCTCCCCTCCCCACCCCTCCCCTCCTTTCCCCCTCCCCTCCCTGTTTTCTGGTCCTTGCGCCCAGAAGCCCAGAAGCCCAGAAGCCCAGAAGCCCAACGCCGTCACTCCGTCCTTGTCCAGCCGCATCTCGGGCGCAAACTTCGCCGCCATCTCGAGCTGGCAGGCCGTGTCGTCGCCACACAGGCCGGCGGCCTCTGCTGCGCCCGGAATCTGGAGACCCAGATGGGTGTATATCCCCTTGTATTGTGGTTTTGAAGGCATCCCCCTTGTTCTGTGGTTTTCAAGGAATGCCCGTGTTTTGTGGTTTTGAAGGAACAAACCAAAGGAACGCCGAAGCCATGTTGGACTTTAAAAGTGAGCCCCACCCATATAGCTCATGATCACTTGGGTGTCCAACCAACGTCAGGCAAGTAGGTTATGAAGAGTCAAATCAGGGTTCGCCCCTTGGCTGAGGAAAATCGGAATCACGGTTCCGGGGGGTACTGTGGATGCCAACAAAATATTGCAAGGGAAAAAGGGGTGTTCCCTGCGAAATATTGCCATTTGCCGGCTTTGTGATTGGATATGGTTCGTTCACTTGCAAAATGCAGCGTCCGCGGTCTTCCCTTACTGCAGCCCTTTAAAGGGGTTCCAGGGAGGCATTAGGGGGACCAGATGTTATTGCAACCCAAACGATATGCAATTCGGGAGTCCTTTGGCAACCTGTTCCGAATGAGCTAAGCAGCTTGGCACAAAGGGTAGCAATCCGAGTCGGTTTCATATTTAGTCTACCCTGAATGTGTATTTCGAGTTAGGAACCCCAGTTGTCCCAAACAGTTCCATTTACTCCCCCTGCAGTCCCTGGCTGGGGCTACCAACCACGGTTGAACGCTTCAAGTGCCAAGTTTGAGCACATGTCGCAGTTGCTCACAGCCCAAACAAAATGCGTTGCTTCCCTAAAGGGGCCCGCCCAGTAGCGTGACTTACCTGACAGCGAGGGGCTTTGCAAATAACAGCAAAGAGTTTGACAAGGCACGCGAACCGGACAGTTTGACAATCACGTCGGTGCCTGCTGAAGGTGTTCCTTTTTTCGCGGCTCCGCAACTTAAATCCTTGCTCAAAGCGTACTGTGTACTCAAGCCGTGGGGCTCACTTTTAAAGTCCAACATGGCTTTGGCGTTCCTTTGGTTTGTTCCTTGAAAACCACCCAACAGGATTCCTTCAAAACCACAAAACAAGGGGGGCCCCTTGAGGCTCAATGGCAACATTTTTCCAGGAAGGTCCACGACCGCATCCTGGTCAGAAGGTCCAAAGGGACCCAAAAGAAATGCTGAAGGCACTTTGGGCATGTGGGGGTCCAAACCCGATTTTTTAAGCCCACCTGGATAGCCAGTTGTTGTTTGTTGTTTTTCCTCTTTTTCCCCACCCGACAGGAAGGGGTTGTTAGATTTTATGTTGGAATCCGCGTTTGCGATGCTTCTACAACACGCCCCCACCCAGTATCCCGCCCGCCAGAGCAGCTCGCCAGTGGGTCCCGCCGAGTATCCCGCCAGAGCAGCTCGCCAGTGGATCCCGCCGAGTATCCCGCCAGAGCGGCTCGCCACTAAAAATCCCGCTGAGTATCCTGCCAGAGCGGCTCGCCCGTGCATCCCGCCGAGTATCCCGCCAGAGCGGCTCGCCAGTGGATCCCGCCGAGTATCCCGCCAGAGCGGCTCGCCACTAAAAATCCCGCTGAGTATCCCGCCAGAGCGGCTCGCCAGCGGATCCCGCCGAGTATCCCGCCAGAGTAGCTCGCCAGTGGATCCCGCCCACTGAGTATCCAGAGCAGCCCGCCAGCGGATCCCGCCGAGTATTCGCTGAGTATTTCAGAGTAGCTCGCCAGTGGATCCCGCTGAGTATCCCTTGCCGGTGGGTCCTGCCGAGTATCCGGCCAGTATCGAGCCGGAGCGGCTCGCCAGTATTCGCCAGTGAAAACCCTGCCAGTATCGCCGGAGCAGCTCGCCAGTCTGGTTTTGCTTAATGTCCCGCCCGGCGCACAGTTTACATTTCATGTTGGTGCCTTCGTGTTTTGGATGTGCCCTGAGGCTGAAAGGGTGATGCTTTTGTGTTGCTTGGGCGAATAAGCAACTTTGTTTTCCCCCGCCGGGTTTCTTTTTTGAAGGGGCTTGGCTTTTGTTAACGGAACCAATGTTTGAGTTCTCGAGATCGGCTCGCAGACAAGTGGAGTTTGACGCACAGACAGGTGGATAAGGCTCTCAATGCAAAGCTTGTTGAGCAATCATAGGGCCCAAGCCACTCGAAAACCATGCTTGAATTCACACAACCGTGATCACAGTCGCAAGCTCGTGAGTGTGGAGGGTGGGGATTGCTCGAAGCGAAGTAAAAAATTGTTTTAAGAAAAAACAAATGTTGTTTTAATGCACCCCAAACACCGATCGCAACAGTGACTGAGAAAAGCGATCGCAACTTGGCCATGGGTAAAAAAAGAGTAGACCCAGTGCCCCACTAGACTAACATGGTGCACCAATCCCAAAATGGGATCCCATTGGTTTTGAACCATGGCCACTTGGCCTATGTAGGCATATGCTTTGTAGAGCCAACCAGGCCAAATACCGCTTTCGTTGCGTTCTCCCCCACTAGCTGGGACCCCGGCCACCGTTGCCAGAACAGCTTGTATCAAGGCTCGCATCGCCATGGCGCCCAAAAAATGCTTTCCCGCGGTGTTCCCGCAGTGAAAGAGGGGCGCGTTTGGGGTGGGGTGAAGGGAACACCAGAATTCTGGGGGGGGTCCCCAATTTCAGATCGCGCAAGAGGTCTATCTTTGTGTTTTTGCTCCAGCTCGTTGAATCTAATCCACTACGAGCACGGATAGTTCGGTCAAACCAAAGACTCACTACCACTAAAAACGGTATTCCAAAAGGAGTGACTCACATCCAGAGGCTCGGGGAGTGGGACAAAACTCGGTCAACTTTCAAGCTAAAGCTCATTTGGTCAAGGGCGTAAGGCGCGGTACCAAAGGTAGACTCAGACGAGGCGACTTTTCGTTACTCGCACTTGGCGTTGTGCAACCCACCAGGCCCCTTGATCCAAAGCAAGTTGCCCGGAGCGCCTGAAACGTCAACTCCTGCTTCATACCGTGGATGGTGGCGACATGCAGAAATCGCACCACCCAAGAAACCATTGTTGAAACCATTACGTTTGTCGGTATCTACACATAGGAATCATCAGAAACCGGGGTCTCTGAATGAATGCTGTTGAGAAGCAGATTTCACAACCATCCACAGTATGGCCGAGAGGTCCGAGATTGAAGACATGGCTCGTGGCCGCACACATCAGTGCAATAGGCCATACCACAGGATCACCCTCACATACCATGCAGCATATCCATCAAGCTGCTGAACAGCCTCTTCTGGAGGCTTAAAACTCATGATTGTTGGAAGGAGAGTAAAGGTGGAACCAAAGCGAAACCCCAACAAAACACGCCAAGGAGACACTAACTTGGCAGCAACCCACGCCATGCTTGTTGGAGAATGCCTCATCCCTCACCCCCTTTCTCTAAACGCCTTACGGCCTTTACAGCCCCCCCACGCCCTCCCGCGCCATGGACACTTGCTCTATGTTGCAGCCAAGCACCCCAAAATTCAAAAACCAGTACCCTAAAAGAAGGCGCCGCAAAATCGAGCCCCACGCGTGTCGATATCATACCCACACCCCACGCAACCCACCCCCCTCGATCTGGGACGTGTCCAAAATCCACCTCGCCGAACTTCGTGGATTCGAGAGACATTCTGCGCAGACTTGCTCTGGAGCCATTTGGACAAACTTCTAGCCGACCAGAAGGGCACCACCTCGGGCTTGAGCCGCGGAAAAAAAGGAAGAAGAAAAAAAAGAGGCTTGGAGGAGAAATGGAACATGTAGAACAAGGGGCTTCACATTTGTCTTGAGTTGGGGGTGGGGATGCTCTCAATTCACATTCGACCAACTTGTGATGTAGACCGGTGTTAATTATTGGGGTCGGTACCCCTTTGAGCTTGTGTGCTACTGTTTTTTTGGTAGGGAAAACCAAAGGGAGACCGACAGCTTTTGTTGGGAGGGCGGGGGGGGGGGGGGGCGGGGGGCCGGGGTGTGTTAAGACAAAGATGCCATCGAGGGATGTTCTCTTGGCATGGGACGTTCCACTGGGTAAAAGCTCGTCTAACCTTTTGCAGGCTTGAATTTTCTTGACATGTCCCCTTCCCCCAACCCAAGGCAAAATGTGCAATTGTTCCGAAAAAAATCCTGAATCAATGGATTCGACTAAAATCAAGAGGCCCTGTTTTCGAAATCCACCACCAGAAATCTGCATCACTCCTTCAACCGAACTTTTTTCCACTACCGAACTCCTCCTTTGGCTTCCTCCAAAAAACAAGCTACGGTGAGCACTTGGGCGTGAAGGCCTGCGACACTTAGAGCCTATTTTGCCACCTTTTTGTTTGGCTGTTGCTGCTTTTGGGGCCTGACCCCCAAGAAGAAAACGCCGCGCACTTAGTTGCACTGAGCGAGTCGCAAAGACAAAGGACCTTTTGGTTCGTGGCAAAATAGCTCTCAGTGCCAGATGAGTTCAGAGCCCTGAAGTGCCCATGGGGTCACCCCCTCCCCCCTCCGTTCAAGGCGACCAGTTTCCGGCCTCACCGCCCTTGGCGACGACCAGTTGGTGTAGGCTGTCCTGGCGATTTGGCGTTTCGGAACGGATGGGCAGTGCTTCCAGAGGGTTCAGTGAATCTGCCAAGCGGACTTCGTGCACTTGAATGGGTCCCGGAGACTTAGAAAAATAAATTGGAGCATGAAGTTGTCCACCAATCACTTTCGATTTGGTTCCCACACTTAGATTTCACAAAGTGACATGTCTTCTGAGAAGAGGTTGTCGGCCCCACAGCACTTTGTCCCCCCCTTTGGATGCCCCCTGTTGCATCCGAGTGATTCTTTGGGGGGCTAAAGGCAACACCTCCCAACGCGAACAAGAGGGTCCAACCAACCCAGGCACCAGATAGGCAAGGGGAAACTGGCGTGCCACGAAAAATGCCGCCGAAATTAGTCTAAGTCAAACCACCCACAAACTGCAAGAAGAAAAGTCGTCAACACGACCAGTGTGGCCACTATGTTGGCCTACCAAGATGGCAGTCCAGTCTATGAGACTAACCCCACATATTGTCAAATATAGGGAAGGAAGGCTATCTTAAGCCACTACTGAGAACAGTGCGATTGAAAACAACAACCTTCGAGAGTTTCCGTTCGCCAAAGGGTGCGAGTTCCAACACGCTCTACCCGTCTTGTTGGCATCAATCTATCAAAAAAGTGTCCCAAACGCCGTGGCCGTCATAGTGGCACACTCTATTTTTGGGCTGAAACTGTGCATTTCCTGGAGTATGGGACGTCTTCCCCAATTTGAAATGCGAGGTGCGGAAATTGCCCACACAAACTAACTGATGCGAGCACAGTATCCTTCCCACAAACATGGTATGGTTCGCCAATTTGCTAGACGACTTTCCTTTTGGAAGCGGGCCACACGTGCATGTTCGTGGCTCGCACCGCTTTTTGTCTATGGTTTGTTTTCCAGACCATTCAAAACGCCAAAAGGCAGCTCACCACAAGAACAGACTTGATCCGACCCAGGCAAAATGGCTCTTGAAACCAAAGGAAACTCCAAGGAACCTCTCAAGGTTCCCCTATATTTTTGGATGAATTCTCGAAATAGCTTTGTGAGTAAGGACACCCTTCACCCAATTTCGACCCAAAGGAAGCTTGGTCTTTCACTGGCCAAGGGAGTGGGGGGTTTCTGTGTTCAGGGTGCCCCTTGCGAAGCCCTCAAACTCCAATCAGTTTGAGGACATCTCAGGGAACCTCACAGGACATATGTCGGAAAATAGGTTCTGCAGCCTCACCACATGAACCAGGACGAAGAAATAAATTGGACTGGATCTCACCTCATGGGTCTGTTTTGAGCTCGTAGCCTTTGTCACCTTGGCTCAAGTGGAAAATGGAGAGTCGACGTTTTTTTTTTCTCGGGGGGGAGGTGCAACTCATTCTTTTTGACACATGGGCTTGTTTCAAATGGGGAAGCCCCTAAAATGTGCGGTTTCCGGGTTGTCTCTTTCAACCCATCCAACATACCTCCCTGAAAACAAAAAAAATGCATACGGCTCGAGGTTCAAAGGGTTGAAGGCTCCACGTCACCCCATTTCCCTGGCCCCCTCGCTGCCCCCCAGAAAAACACGCGTCTGGTGGGGTCCTTCAACTTTTGGTGCTGGTGCATGCGCTGAAAGTCCGCGCACCACGCAAGGTACCAGTTGGCACCTATGGCCGCTGGAGAACCCCCCCGCTGCGGGGAACCAGAAGCAAACAAGCCATGTATAACTCGATCCCTGTCCACTAACATGGAACCTGACGTTTCGGGGTCCCGGTAGACCATTTTCCGCACAAAAAATGGGCCGTCTGGTGGGTGCCATGTTAGTGGGAGGAAGGGTATACAACGGGGGCCCCTATTTTGAGAAACACTCAGTTGAATTGATAGAGTAATATCTCCGAAACAGGTGCCAGGACGAAGCTCTGCCCGTCCTCAGCAGAAAAAAGAACAGCCATCAAACCACCAGGGTGAGCCAAATGAACAGGGCTCCGCCGGCACTTTGCCGGCCAAATAGGGCAAAACGCGCCCAATAGCCTGCGGAAGGCGGCCAAAAGCGCCGCTCCTATTTCCAGGTCCCTCAAAACAACCCAGGCCGCGAGGGGAAGCCCGGCTCGCGCCCGAAGCCGGCTCTCGGGGCCTGTGGGACCTAGAAATTCAGTCGGAGCCGAGAGGAAAGATGGAAACATAGGTGTCCTTTTAGGTTGGAAATAGATGGGTTTCCCTGGTTGATTAAACCACCAGGTAAACCAGGAATCGCCATCTATTTGCCTACCAAAACCACCAAAAAGGACACCTATGCTTGGAAACTGTCTCTCCAAGTTCGGGAGCCTTGTGAATTGACTGGATACTCATGGACCCAAAAGGCCGTCACCAGTTCCACCCTACCCTTATCTTTCATTTGGGCGGTTCAAAATTAAACGATCGGAGGGGCAAACCGCAGGTGTTTGTCCATGTTTCCACTTAGCCTGGCAAGCCATTTTGGTACCGTTTCTTTTTTTGAGCCACAGCCATTTGCGAATACGCGTCCGTGATGTTCTTCATGGACCTCAGGCCTCTCAATCCTCAGGGAAAGGCAAAGGAACCTCTACTAACTTCCGTGTTGTTGTTTTTTTTCAGATTGTTGTTTATATGTTCTCCTCTTGGTGTTACGAGGGAGTCTATCACTGGAAATATGCCTTTCCTCTCTCTCTCTCTCTCTCGCTCTCTCTTTTTTCCAGGGGGCATCCCCGAGCTATTTCTACTGGGCTGATATAAGACATCCTCACGACTCTCTAAATGGTTGTGCACCTCTTTGATAAATCTTCGATCCGTGGCCCGAACTCGCACGGTAGGAATTCACCCGACAGATTCCGCCAGATTCTGTTGACTCCCTTTGAACGGAATTTTACGAAAGGTACCACCAGTTCCGGGCCCAACTCTCCACAACCATGCCGCTCCCTCATAGGCTTCCACTAGCTTAAGTCCCCAGGAATAAAAATAAGGTTGTGGATCAATAATATGCACCCAAAATGGAATCCTGGTAAATGGCAACATGGACCAAAACCTGCGGTCCCCTGGTGGTTACTTTTGACCCACACCCATATGCTTGTTCTTCACCAAATGGAGGAAGGGGCACCCTGCTTTCGCCACATCGCGACCACCGACACTGAAAAAATCCCCCGCTCGCTTCGAGCCTCTCTTGAACTCGGCAGAGTTCATCCCGAGCACAGACTGTGCTTGCAAGGCGCCCGAGGACGAGAATGGGACCTAAGCGGCGGCTCGAACCGGTTCTGCTCATGAAGTGTTTGGCCCAACTAAACAAATGATGTTCAGATTGTGGTTCCTAATCAGTCAACATAATTCCTACCTAGTCAGCCTTAAAGTATGAGGCTGAGGTTGAAAACTTAGAATATCTATACCAGGTTAAAGGCAAGGTGTGCAAAAGGCAGCAACCCTGATTCGCTTCTTCATAAACTGCTCCTCCCCCCCCCCACCCCCCGCCCCCCTACACACACATACACAAAGACCTCCTTTGGGATGGGTGGTTGGTGGGTGAGCGAGTGTGTGGGTGCGGGTGTTCCTGTGTGTGTGTGGGTGTTCCTGTGGGTGTGGGTGTGGGTGTGGGTGGCTGTGGTGGGAAGTTCAAAGGGTGTAAGGTGTGCAACAGGCTTAAAGATCACAGAGGTTGTATCAGGTTTTCAGGGCTGTAAGATTTAGAAGTTGCAAGGCTATGAAGGTGATAGTGGGTTTAAGAACTAAGATAAGGTTTGCATGGGAAGAAAGGTCATCAAGCTATGCAAGGGTTCCAAGCTTCTAAAAGCCTAAAGTGTCCTGAAGGTTTGATTTCCCGCAGACCACACATGACGCTTGAACCTTAGGGCATAGAAATGCCCCCCATCACTTGGCTTGCCGGCCAGACCTATTGATGCAGCAAGATGGCTCAACCCTCAAGATGTGTGCCTTTTGTCGTTGAATGAGAACATTTGGAAACCGAAGAGGTGGTGTCTCCTGAGTGGAGTCGTTCTTCTGGGCAACTGTACATGTTGCACAAAAGTGTTTACATTCTACAGATCCCAAGAGATTGAGATGGGAAATCACCAGCAGCCCAACACCGCCAGTAGAATGCAACTGTCCAAAATTTGAATCGCCCCTTGGAGTAGACATCAGTAAACAGCACACGATTGGCAAATGAACTCACAAACCGCAGTCGGAATCCTCCTGGGTGAGCTGGCTTCACCCAATCGGTGAGCTCGTGTTTCCCCATCGGTGCTCGTGCAAAAACAAATGCAGTCCCATTTTCAAAAATATGGGGGACCCCCAAAATCCCGGTTCTCCCTTTGGTGTCCATTTGTTCGACCCCCAAAATGCTGGTTCTTTCTCCCCTTGGTTTCCATATTTTAAGCACCCCAAAAGAGGGCTATGAGCCTCAGAGAACTCACAAAATGTCTCAAGTCGGGACTACCCGAAGGCCCAGCGACTGGGACAGGTTCGGAAGGAACCTTCTTCCAAGCTGTTCCGATCGGGCCCGGGTCCCGCATTTCATTTCGGGATGAGGTCCCCAAGACCCCACCCACCCAAGACCCCACCCACCCACCCACCCACCCACCCAAGACCCCACCCACCCACCCAAGACCCCACCCACCCACCCAAGACCCCACCCACCCACCCAAGACCCCACCCACCCACCCAAGACCCCATCCACCCACCCACCTTTCGGTGGGAACAACAGTACGTCCAGCCGTATGGGGAGGGTGAGGAGTACTTGATCCAGCGTTAACATTGCCCATTTAACAAAGCTTTGGTCTCCCCAGATGCCCAGTGGCCATGTGAAAAAAAGAGCATCCTTTTTTTGGTTGGTTGACTTTAAAAGGAAACCCTTGCCAAAAAAAAGCAACAAAGGAAGCAACCCACTGAGCACTTGGGTCTCACTCCAACTCGGTCCCCACATTCTTCTTTCGCTTTCGCCCACACCAATTACTTAATTCTCGCCTGCGGCGACAGGTACTGCGGCCAGCCAAAATAGCCGGCCTCGCGGGCGAACAGGGCCGAAGTTCGCAACCAAAGATGCCCAGAGGGTTTTTTGGTGTCTTCTAAGGAGGTACTGAACGACCTCTTCTTACCCCCCAAAAGCCATCCTCAGGAGGTACCAAGGGACCCTCTGGGATTCATTCATTATTTTTTCTAACAAGCCGCGGGAGAAGTTGACGGCCAAAGATTCATCTCACTTCCTGAGGTCCAACCAAGAACCCGAGACAATGATGCATTTCTGTTTACCTCTCCAATGGTCCAGACAGAAACTTGTAAGGGCTCGGGACCCAACTCACTTCGGAACGAGTGGATTGACAGAAAGCCGTCCAAACTCTTCGTTTGCCACTGAACCGGCACTCCGGGAGTTGGGGAACTTCGGGTTCCAAAGGGATCGAGGGGTTGGCTTCGACCCACTCCAAAATACACATGCGTGTCCGATTCGGTATGATGTCAACTAATGACTGAGCAATGAGAAATTTGCCATAAAATCTTAGAAACCTGGCGTTTCCTATATGCCCTTTCAACAACTACGCAAAGGGTAGAAGCCCAATCGAATCGGCCATGCTGGACTGAAACATCCTCGGGTGCTCCACCCGAAGCCACCATGTTCCAAGTGTCTCTTTTGCGGGGACAAGTTTTAGAGGCTCTAAAAAACACCAAAAACAAAAACACCTCCAATTTGCGGGTCACCTAAAAAATGACACGCCCAAATGATTGATCGTCTACCTGGAAGCTCTGTGTGGCCCCAGTTTGGCCAAAGTCTAAAGTGTTGGTTTGCCACGATGGTCTACCAAGTGGGTGTGGCTCAAAATTAAACAGGAGGGGTTACGCAGGTTTTGGTCCATGTTTCCACTTACCAGGGTTCCAGTTTGGTACCGGTTTTTTGAGCCACACCCAAGTGACCTTTCCGTCCAGCTGTGAAAGGAGCAACCAAGACTGGGTGCCTTCTTCGGGCTCCAAAGGGATTGTTCTTCGCTTGGAATCCAAATCCCGCCGGATCGATCCGGAGTTTTGAAGGAACCCCAAAACGGAGTCTGAGGTGAACATGGTACGCGAAAACGCGCTAACACAAGATTCTTGAGGGCACCAGCAACACGAGCAACAGTCCTCCTTTTGCAAACAACTGTACTGGAAACAAACAACACATGCCCTCCCTCAAATAAATACTGGACAGAACCAGAAACTGGGAAGTGAGACATAACCCCCGCAGCCCTAGCCTGCACACCCGCCTGCGGATAGTCGTAGTCAGAGTGCGCGTCGTATGCGGGAAAAGGGGAGTGCGCGGCCTGTCATGTTTGAGATGTGTAGTTTTTGACCGGCCCCTTTTTGGCTAGGTGTTAAAGGGAAGTCAAAGGGAAAGCCGCATTTTTTGGGGGTCCCCCTATTTCGACACACACCCACACCTGACGGGTTTTTTATCGAAACCAAGCAGGACGAAGCGAAGGAATAGAACTTTCGAGCAGGTACTTGAGGTTCACACTTGGCAAGCGGGAAATCTACCACAACCTAAAGTCAGTCCACCCAAGCCAGTAATAACCAGTGCTATAACCCCACTTACTAAGTGACCCACTAAGTGGGTTTGCACATCCAATTAACTCGGGGGGATGTTGTCTCCGCTGATGAGAAGAAATGAGAGAAACAAGTCTGGGAAAGTGGAGATATGATGCCTACCATGCCAAAGTCGCCATGACCACAAGGCAAGCAACACCACCCGTCGAAACGCGTTAAGCAAAAAAAAACAAGCACTCCTGCCAACCTGAATGCCCACTTGAAAAAAAAAAAAAAAAAAAAAACATCCCAAAGGTTGAAATCTTACATCCGTCGCGCACGGTTCAAAGGTTGAGCCTCACTTCCAAACAGAGAAACCCCGTTCGCAAATCAGTCATCGAGCATCCACAACTTCAGGATCGCCGCCCGCCGATTCGCGGGGCTCGAATCTCGATGGGGAGCCCAGGCCTGTGGCCATTGCAAGGTGGCCGCTGGCAAAGAGTACGCCTCGCGAAACTTTGGCGAAGCGTGGGCCATTTTGATCGGAACGTCCCATCCAAATGGACCTCCCTAAATGGGATGTGGGGAGGAGGAGCCAATTATCCCCTGTGAAACGTCAAGCGGAATTAGGAGTCCCCCTACGCGGTCATGTTGTTCTCCTTGGTTTCCAAAGGAAGGTACCCCTTAGTTTTACACAATCTGTGAGCTCAAAAGTCTGTCCTGAGGATGTTCCGGCATTCCTGCAAATCACCTTGCTGGAAATCAGAAGTAAGTCAAGCCGCAGAAGCTCCTTAGAACTTGGGCACACCCGCATCTGACTCGCTTGATCATCCCGCCTTTTCCATCTCTTCCGCAGTGACCTTGGCATCGAGTTTGAAGCAATGGCCCCTATGGATGCTTCACCGATTAGATTCTGGTCCATGTGTAGTGTGGGTGTGCTTTTATTGAGAGTACCCCTTTTGTGGTGGTTTTAAAGAAGAACCAGCAGGAACACCGTTGCGCAACGTTGGGCGGACCAAATCCTAAACAAAGACACATCCAAAATTTGTCGAACCCACCAAAGGGTCCCGCTTAAAGGACATATTTTTTCAGGACCCTCCGTCAGGTTCCATGTTGGTGGACAGGAGGGCACCTGAAATACCGCCCACGGAGGGTAGCTTCAACAAGGACACACCCGAAAGCACCCGAAAGCCGCGCCCAAAAAACAGTTTGGAGGTGTGGAGAGCCACTCCAAATAGCCCTTCAAGGGTTCTCTCCCAGTAGTTGTCCGACTTCTCCGGGGATTCCCCAGAGCATGTCATGTCCATGACTGCTGGTGTTGTCAATTGTGAGCCTTTCGTAGCAAGTTTCGTTCCTGCAGCATGGGTGCAATGAAATCATGAGCAAGTTGTGAACACAGGCATGGTATACCTCTGCCAAAGCCATAAACTGTTTGGGCAGGTCAACAACATGGAAGCTTTGAAGTAGCTTCGCACTTCTTACGTTCTCATCATCATTGACTTGATTGCCAGCTTTTTCTGCGTTGCACATGCACAACTCATTGGGCCCACTTGCGGTTGCCAACTAAACATTTTACACAACGCCTATCTGTCCGTGTGTGGGCGTTTTGCTTAGATGCTGAGAACGGAACAACACCTTTGGACAGGGGCACTGCCTGCACAGCTCTGAGACCCCACAAACCCGTCTCAAAACAACAAACCAACTGATGTGACTGGCAAAAGAGAGCTGTATGTGTGTTTCTGCTTTGAGGGGCTTGTTATGTGTATGTATGTCTAGTGATTTCTATTAACTATTTATTTGCTGAGTTGTTCATTTGGTTACACTATAGGGTGAACCCGCCCCAGTGCGCCCTGCCCGGCAGCCAGACGTATAAAACGGCGGGTATCCATGTGAGAGATTACTGGCACGCTACTTTCACGAAGATAAGTGTGGTACTTAAATAGCAACAACTACACCATACAGCTAGTGTAGATCCATGGTTCGAATCAGGATTGGAAGAGAACGAAGACTTAGGACAAAAGAGCCAAATCAAAGAGGATGAAACCAAAAGCGACCCTGATCGGACCTATTAAGGCGGGAGTCTTCATGTATATATATATATATGTATGTATGTATGTATATATATATATATGTATATGTATATATGTAGTATATACATACATATCAAACTGATGCAACATAACAAATGGTACGCCTGCGTCACCTTCGTCACCCAGTCCGGCTCTTGGGTGAGGCATAATGAACCCAAAAGCTCAGATGGCTGTGAATTCCAATAAGGGACCCTTGGGACAAAACAAAAATCGGCCGGGATTCATGTCCACCAAGCACTGTTGGGTTGGTTGTGACCAATCACTTGTGGTTGGTGGTTCCCCCACTAAGCAATTCCTGGCCAGAGGTGGATCAGTGAAGCTTCTGAACATCGTCCGAGTCCTTTTGTTTCCAAGATCCGGAGGCAGCGGCTTGGTCCACGGGTTGGTTCCACTCTAAAAGCCTGGTGCATCCCAGTTACCAGTATGGTAGCCACCATGTCCCAAAAAAGCCTTTCAAGCATCGTGCCGATATTGTTACCCACATAGGTAAAAGGAATCCGGGGGGAGCATCCCCTTTTGCAGGGCGTCTCGCTTCGTGCCCTTCGGTTCGGCTCTGACCTCCGACCCCAGCTCCAGGCTTAGTTCTAAAGACAAAGCGGATAAGTCGAACGGTCGAATGGTTCCACGGGCCCCGGCTGGGCGCTTGACGGCGATTTTGAGGGTACCCTGTTTGGGATCCCAAAAAATGGGGGGGGGGGGGTTCCCTCATGAGACACACCAATGTCTCGAGGAAGGGAATCCTCATGACAACCTGATCGCCACGGAAGTCTGCCCATTTGTCACTTGGACCCTTTGCCGATCCGAATCGTGGCAAACGGTAGTTCGGGTCGTTTTCCTTGAAAACCAATAGCCCCCTTTAATCAATCCAGGACGTGACGAGCTTGTCACCTGAGCACAGCAACGCGTTGATGTCCATGTTCTCCTTGTTCCGAAGCCCCACCCCCCACCCCCCACCCCCCACCCCCCACCCCCCACCCCCACCCCCCACCCCCCACCCCCCACCCCCCACCCCCCACCCCCACCCCCACCCCCCACCCCCCCCCACCCCCCCCCACCCCCCACCCCCACCCCCCACCCCCACCCCCACCCCCACCCCCCACCCCCCCCACCCCCCACCCCCCACCCCCCACCCCCACCCCCCACCCCCCCCACCCCCACCCCCCACCCCCCACCCCCACCCCCCACCCCCCACCCCCACCCCCACCCCCACCCACCCCCCACTGGACACCCACCCCACCCCCCACCCCCCACCTCCCACACCCCACCCCCCACACCCCACCCCCCACCCAACTTTTGGACACAGATTTTGGACACCGGACACTTGGGGTTTAGGACATGGAGAGTTAGCTCAGAGCCCGGCAAGGTTCTCGACGCCCCAGGAGTATGAGTCCTGCGTGCGCGGCAAGACGCGGGGGGGTGCGCGGCAAGACGCGGGGGGGGGGGGGGGTGTACCGGTTTTTGGAGGGTACCATTTTTTTGGATGTCTTGGAGGGAAACCAAAAGGTTTCCGCGCCCCCTTGTTTTGGGGAGTTCCTCTATTGGAGACAAACCTGGCGGATCATACTGTCTCCAAATACCCGACCTTTTTCAGGGTATGGTTCTGCAAGGGAATAAGTACTTGTGCAGAAAAGTTTGAAATAAATGTAAAACAATGGAACAAATGCCATACATCAGTATGTTGCCTCCTCACTAAACATGATGGAACAAAACCTTGGAGACCACGTTATTTCAACCATAGAAATCGGGACATCCGGAAATGCACCAAAAGCCTGCCAACCCGCCAATGGACTTTGCCCATGTTCGACATGTCCAAGGAGGCAATTTACCACGAGGACCTAACAGTAAATCACATTTTGCAAAGAGCCAGTGGATTGTCTTGGACAAAATGGTGCACTGGTCGTTGGTTCATGTAGCCTGCGAAGATAAAAGGAACCCTCGGGGCACCATTGGATGTATGGGAATAATTGCAAACCGTAAAACGAGGGCTCTCCAAGCAAAGGAGCTAGTTGGGGGCCGGTCAAAACATAAGTCTAAAGTCCATTTGAGAGAACCATTGGGGGCACTCGCCAATGCCACAAAACCCGCGGGGAACTGAACAAATGTTCCTATGTCCTTTACGCCAGCCAATTCCATATGTTGATGGAGCCTCACATTATTCCAAAACTGATTCAGAGCCATACCAACACAAGCCATGAAAGATCACGGGCATTCGGGGTTTTGAATGGCCCCCAATAGTCAAAGCCACTCGCCCTCTAATCACTAAAAGAGGTGTATCTGTTCTGATTCTGAGGAAACCTTTTGTGGGCCAGGCGTTGCTACAACAAACAAACAGGCACCCAACCATAGGTGTCCTAGGCAAAACAAATGGCCCTGGTGGATGCTTAAACCACCAGGTAAACCAGGAATCGCCCTCCATTTTTCGAGCCAAACCAGCGAAAAGGAGACCGCACCGGAATTCGTAAGACCAACCAAACAAAATACAAGACCTAATTATATATATGCACCTGAGTTCAAACTTTCAGGCCAAAAACATACAAGAGATTCTTTGCAGCAGATGGACCAATTTCTTTTAAGACCAAGGGGCAAAATCTGTAAATGGGCGCCTGGGGTCTGCCTGGGGCCCAACTCCAAAGAACCGCCGACGTCCTGAGAGGCCAACACGTCGTCTTCCGACGGCGCGGTGGTGTCCGGGAAGTCCTCGCGAGACGGGCTGGCTGGGGACAAAACCCCGTTGGCACCGCGTTTTGAGTACCGAGGGCAGGGGTGGAAATCCGACAAAAACAAGGGGGGAGGGGGGTGGACAAAACCCGTGAAAACCGCTTTGAAACCTGGGTTGAAACCATAAGGTTGGTTGGCATTTACGTTGGGGAATCCTCAGAAACCAGGGGTAAAATCCGACAAACCATGGGTGAAACCATAAGGTTGGTTGGTATTTACGTTGGGGAATCCTCAGAAACAAGAGCGAAATCCTACAAACCAGGGTTGAAGCCGCAAGGTTGGTTGGTACTTGGCTGTCGGTCAAAACCCTGTACCCCCTGGTGAACATCAAAACAGGTGGCAAATGGATGTTCATCCACCCTAAAACGGAGCCATAGGTTATGACCCATGGCCATTTACAGAAAAATTATCAGAAACCAAGGCAACATCCTACAAAAAATGGTTGAAAGATAAAACCATAACATTGGTTGGTATATGTACGTTGGGGAATCATCAGAAACGTTGGGTTTCTGAACGGTGGTGCGATTTCTAGACTTCGGAACCATCCACAGTAAGAGCCCTAATAAGGCTCAGCCACCCAGACTTGTACCTTTCCAGGGTATACAAATTTGCAAATCAAGCCTAAACGTGATCAACTTGTTTCTCATAAGGTTTGCAAAAACTTATGAACTTGAGTCACTTGTTGGTTGGTTGGACCATTTGGGTGGTAAGCGACAAGCAGGCAAAGGGAAGCACTACCTGGTCTGTAGTGATTCCATAAGAGTTCCTGTTTTGTTCCCCACCCGACAGGAAGGGGTTGTTAGATTTTATGTTGGAATCCGCGTTTGCGATGCTTCTACATCACGCCCCCACCCAGTATCCCGCCAGAGCAGCTCGCCAGCGGATCCCGCCGAGTATCCCGCCAGAGCTGCTCGCCAGTGGATCCCGCCCAGTATCCCGCCAGAGCTGCTCGCCAGTGGATGTATCCCGCCAGAGCGGCTCGCCAGTGGATCCCGCCGAGTATCCCGCTGAGTTGATGGGAATTTGGAGTCGAAGTCCCTAGGATGTGGAGGAATTTGTTGCAACGGTCGTAAGCTCGTGAGTGTGGAGGGTGGGGATTGCTCGAAGCGAAGTATTGTTTTTTTTTTTAAAAAAAAAAAAAAAAAAAAAAAAAAAAAAAAAAAAAAAAAAAAAAAAAAAAAAAAAAAAAAAAAAAAAAAAAAAATCTAGGGCCCTTGGCAACTTTCCCCCCTTGGAATATTGCATAACAGTTGTGTCGGACACCTCTTAGGTGGTTCTTTGTGGGTTCTTCGCGGTTCCTGAGCCGTCAGGCACCCTCTCTTCAATGAGAACTGGTACAACGACGGTCATACTTGAAGTCTCCATGACCATTACAACATGGGGTCATCGTCACGACCCCATGTTTTAAGGGCCGTGCAGACTCCAGGTGGTTCTTGGTTGACTCTCAACAAATGGGTGGGAATTGCCCAAAGCACAAAATTGCTTTAAAGTGTGGACCATATCCTGCACCAGTTGAGATGGAGGCAAGCCTATGAATATATCAAGACTACCAGAAGATACCAGGGCGTTGCACTTCGTTCGCGTGGGTTGGCTACCCAAAAGAACTCAACTCCCGTCCTGAGGCTATGAAAATACCTGGCAAAAAGTGTTGCAAGTTTGGAGACTGAACAGGTACGACGGTTTACCCCCAAGCTGCCCCCAACAAAACCCGCCAGTGGACATCAAGGCAGGCTTGCCAGGTACCAGGCAATCGCCTGCGCCGTGTTCTGCTTTCCGGGTGTCGCAACAACAAACAACATCCGGCCAGCGGTGTTTTTTGTGCCCCGTCCCCGAGCGTGGCCATTTGGGTGAAACCCTCTCTCAGCATGACCAATCAAAACCATTTCAGGGTAAAAAGTTGGGTCATGTCTATGACCTCTGGCCAGTTCCCAAAACTAAACCTGATTCAGTACCAAATGAAGGCTACAGTCAAACCACTTCAAGGAAAGTCACACTTGGCAACGTCGCCGGGGCGGGTTTGTGGCAATTTGCCAGGCAGAAGAGACCTATTCAGCAGAGCTCGGAGCAACCGCAGGGGGCTCCAAAGCTCTTGCCATGAAGAGCGAAATCCGTGACACCACTTTCTGGCCGCTCGGAGGATCTAAGAAATCGTGCCCATTCTTCAAACCCAGGGAAACTAGCTGGTTTTTGAAAAGAACCATGGTGAAAAAGAATGGAAACGGACTCCAACCCCTACAAAAAAACAAAAAAACAAGCCCGTTTTCTTTCCGTAGCCTCCGTGCAAAGCCGGCAGACCCAGCACCGACGCACCCATCGACCCGCGCCTCGAAAACAGTAGGCTCTCCCTTCAATGACTTCATCTTCTCCTCCTTGCCACGCTCGCCCAGGAGGCCTTGTGTTCGACGTCCCGCGAACGGCGAATCATCCCCCCCTTTCGACCCCCAATACACGGAAAAAAAAAAACACGCCCTATGAAACTTGGCCGTACGTGGCCTCATTTCACCTACGTGGCCGGCGAAATAAGGGAGGGTTGGACCGGGACCTAGCTTGCTGGCGAAATAAGGGAGGGTGATTAATAAGGGAGGGCAAATAAGAACCCCTTTTCACGTGGGTACGAAAACAGCTTGGGCTCGCAAATGGAGCGCCTCCAAAGTCCCAAGCCATGCGGTTGCGTGTTTTGTTTGAGGGTGCTTGCTTGGCGTTGTTGAATGGGATATATGTGGAAGCTATATGCATTTGAGAGATAGCTCCGACAGGGGGTAACATATGTTGGATGCCAAGCCAATGCGCGTTTCCTTGAACATGAAAATCCATGTTTCAAGGAAAACACATAGCGACTTCATCATGAGATACCCTCCCAAAAGCAACATGGAGCTTTCGAAAAGAAAATGGCCCAGGAACCCCTCTGCAGGTTCTATGTCTATTTCTGAGGCAAGTTAGTCCCCTGAATGTTGCGGTTGGATTCCTGTGCTTCTCAAACAAATACCGACTCACCGACCAGGTCCCAATCCCATTGTCAGCGCCATGCTAAGGGGGAAGACCCGCAAACGGCCCGACTGGGGGCCCCACAAGCGCGCAGGAAGCTTCACGGGTTAAGAGGGGTGGACAGTGGTGGACGTCGTTTACGTAAGTTCCCATCAGCCAGCCATTCTTTTAGGCTGTTCCAGCTAGGGCTTGCAACCATCCGGAAAAAAGCCCTGGGAACCTGTTTAGGTGTACAGAAAAGGAGAGGCTGCGACGCCACTCCCCAATTCAACCCGAAGGCATCACTCCAAAAGGAAACTCACCGCAGATTGGCAACCAACAGCAAAGTGGGAACTGCAGGGAAGCCTGGAACCTGTGTGACCGCCTAGGCAAGAAATCTTGGGCAGGGTCCGAAGTCGACGGCAGGCGGCAGGCCCCTTCAGGGATCAGGATACCGTGCCCGTAGAACCAAGGCACCCGGTTAAACCATGCCAGGAACCCTATAGTCTTTGATGCTTGACTCAGTTGGCCCATAAACAACCAGACAACATGCCAAGAGAACTGTGGTGGGACATTCAGCGCAACAAGGGAAGCCACTAACATCTGGCATATGTATTTAGGATCGATTGCGGCCAACCCGCTAAAAAACAACAACAAACAAAAAGGAAGCCACAAAAAAAGGGGGCCTAATGCGTTTGTTTGACAACCACAATTGTTTAAACAACATTCTGATGGCGTCTCTTTGAAGTGGGTCAGGGCCTGGCTGAAACAAGTTTGGCCACCGGACGCTAGAACAAACTATGTCAAATGTGTGAAAAAGGGACCACTTGATGGAGGAGTTTCAGGAAACCCTTCACACATCTATGAAGCATGTGGGCGGGGATGGTGTGCTCGGAGGGGCGGTAGGCCCGTGGGGTCTTCAACTTGGGTTTCAGGAGCGTTCAGGTGTCTCGGCAGAAACACACCCTGACCCTTGCAGGGTGCAAAATCTCAGGGAGGTTCCCGGTTGCTGGGGGAAACCAGAAGGAGCCCAACATGTTGGGGGTGCTCTTCGCTTGACACTTACCCATTTTGAGGGTATGTGCCTCTGTTTGGTGTCAAACGGGTAAAAAGGCTCAAACTGGTGTCCTGCAAAGGAACCTCAAACAGATTGTTCCCAAAATCGAAATGTTCCCTGCTCAAGGAGGCGATCGATTCGCCACATCAAACAGCTCGTCTTGGCAAGTCTCTGTTCAGCGGGTGTAGCCAGGTTGTTGGATAACGATTAATGAATGGGGAGATAATACAAATGTTTGTTCCGAACATGATTCCCCTTACCTCAAAAACAATAAGGGTAGGAAATGCACACACAACCACTTTGGGGGCAAAAATTCGAATGCGTTCCAAGTGGATAAGAAACATGCTTGTGCGCTGCAATGTCTGAGCTTGTTGCATTCAACCTGATCCATACCCCAGTCCTAGCAGCTCCTGTCTCAGCTCTAAGTCATCCAAAGGCTACCAAGAAGAGCTGACCTGACTGAGCAGCCAAATTCTTTAGGACTCTTTACTCAAACTGCCACCCAGCCATATGTTCAAACAGGGGTGGCGCGCGCCAGGAACACCCAGGAAGGCAATGATATGTTTTGTTTAAGGGTAGGGAATAGAGAAAAACGGTGTTGCACCGAGGGCCACCTCAAAGGAATGCTAAACCAATACTAAACTAATTCTAAACAGTACGGGGCCAGCTCAACGGAAGATTAAGCCAAGACTAAACCAATACTAAACAGTACTTACTGGAAGACTACTTAAGCAAGCCCCAATCTGACCCCCATCCCATCTAGTTTGGGCGGCCCCTTTACTAATCACTACCCCACATTGCTCACCTCCTCAAGTCCCCTGCAACAAATGAGCATATCTCCAGTAGCGATAGTTTCCCTCTAATCCCATGGTGACAGATTTCCCTCTGAAAACCAACCAGGCGAAACAAAAACAAACAAAACAGAGGATAAAAAATGGAGAAACACATATCATGTTCAGCACACGGAAGCTCACCTCCCTGACCGCCAATCCGACCGCCGAATCGCCGAGCCGGAAGCCGAGTGGCTGAAAAGTATAGCCTCCAGCTCCCCATCTGCTGAGCTGGGACCTAGCGAATGGATCAAGTCTGAGTTGGTGAAATCATTCCGCTAATGTTGACCCCATATAAAATCCAACCAACCAGTTTATTGCTAGGGGGGAACGTCGATCAGGTCTGAGCTGGTGAAAACATTCCGCCAATGTTGACCCCATATAAAAATAAACCCCAGTTAATCAATAGGCGTCAATAGGGGGAACACCCCCTCCAAAAGTGATCACTCCCCACTAAACCCAAAAACACCCCCTATTGCTGAGCTGCGGTTGATTAATATGGGGTCCACATTATGTGTCCAAAAGGATGCCTTTTCGGTCCTTCCAGAAAGGCTTTTAGTGAGAAGCAACTCAGGTATAGGTCAAAATGAACCAACCGAAACCGACGGAACAAGCAACACCCACGAGCGACTTCGTGTCAGATGCGAGAAATGGAGCGAGCCACACACGAAAGGGATTTTGTTCGGAAGGCCTTTTGACCTTGACCCGAGCACAACTTTCTGGAGGTCTCTCAGATGCCGCTTCCGGGCTCAAACTTATGTCAATTCCGGCGGTGTCCCATAACTAAAACTTGGATTGTGCCTAGTATCAGGTCGCTTTGATGAACTGAGTGTGAGGGTACCCTTCCTGGTTTGCTTAATGCACACATTTTGGGAGCACCCACAAAAGCGGCGAACCCAAGTGGAGTCAACACATATGAATGCATCATCAACATATGCTTGTTCAATGAGTGAGGGTATCCTGGAAAGTTTGGTTCCCCCAGAGGATCACTCTTTGGCCAAGGCCTCTTGGAGTTTGCAACGGGCAGCTTGGGTAAGAGCATCCCTGTGACACGCACCAAGCCGAGTAATGCACGGGGCTTGGTTTTGATGCAGTGCCGAACATGGATGTGGGAGATAGGTCCTAGGTGATGTTTGCATTCTCGGTCTCCACAATATCGAGGTGGGCGAGCCAGACCCAACAAACAGGAGCTGGAAAACCCACAAGCCCTTTGCATGAAGTATGGCTTCTACTGATTGCACCAGAATATCAGGAAAACCAACAAGCCCTTTGCATGAAGTATGGCTTCTGCTGATTGCACCAGAATATCAGTGCGCTTCCCGAGTAGATTAGCCACAAGAATGGTCTTCCCAGTCCCCAAGGAAGGGACCTTCATCGTTCACCGCCGGATCGGCAAGCTCGAAACATGATACTTGCACGAAATATAGCTCCTATACTCTTTGTCAACCTTCAATCCTAAACGCCTTAAACCTAGAATTTACATTTACATCTTCTCTTTGTTCAGTACTTTAGTCAAGGGCCAAGATGTACGTTGATCCCACACAGTTGACCCAGTATTGTCTACCATGTCCTCACGGATCTGCTGGCAACTCCTTCGCTCCGCTTTGAAGCCATTTTTGGATATCCCCATCTCCCTGACGGCTCCTGTCCAACTACCAACTACCTGGAGTCTCCATGACCCTTTAAAAATGGCTCAATGACCAACCAAAGTTTTGGGTAATGACCACCCATCTTTTCAGGGTCAGAAGGAGACTCCAAGTTCTTTACCACCCAAATGGCCGTGGGTCAAAATCCCGTACCCCCAGTGAACATCCCAATTCCCACTAAAATAGACTAAAATAAAATGGGTGGTGCACGTACCCCACAAGGGTACCATTGGTTTTGACCCACAGCCAAATGGATTCATCGCAGTGGCTCATCTCCTGCCTGGGACTTCTTTCTCTGGCGCCGGAGGCCTCTCAGGCCTCTCAGGCCAATGCGCAGAAAAGCGCTTCGGACGCAGGAAAGCCCGCGAGACCAGGATTACCCAATTGCAACCAAAGGGACTGCGGTGTGTGTGTGTGTGTGTTGATTTGCTGTTTTGATTTGTTGTTTGTTGTTTGCTTGCTTACTTGCTTGCTTGCTTGCCTGCCTGCCTGCTCGCTTGTTCGCTTGTTCGCTTGTGCGCTTGCTTGCTTGTTCTTTTGCTTGTTTGTGCGCTTGTTTTTTTGGTTTGTTTGTTTACGTGCCAAATTGGGGTGGGACGGTTGGCACATTACCGTCGCCTGGAAACAAATATAAATAGACAAACACACAACCCGATAGATAAAGCAAACACAATGATAAATGATACGTATGTGCTATATATATATATGCTCAACCCCCCCCAGAAGGGCTACCTTTCTTCTTCAAATCGGACCACATCCTCTTATTTTAAAGACAGGGGGTGTGAGCATATATACGCAAGAAGTGTGCTGTTGTTGCATAGTTTGTGTGGGTGACAAGTCTGTTGAGTAACAACAGCGAAGAGTTTAACTATAAACTGTCAGGAAAGTTAAAAAACTATGTCAAGGGATTGACGGTTTCCCTGCAACAAGGCAAAACGTGGGGGGGGAGGTTGAGAAGTCTGGGAGGGGATGAGAAGTCTTTAACAAAGTTGGTTGAGTTACAATTGAGTGCTGACCAACCCCTCCCGAGACTTCCAACCCCCCCACCTCCCCCCCTCTCAAAGATACCAGGATCATGAAGACTTCCCAGGATGGGGTGTTGCCTTGTTGCAGGAAAACGCCAAACACTCAAGAGTTTATAAACTTTCCTGCAAGTTTATAAACCTTATGTAGGCTTAATGCGTAGCAATTGGATACTGCTGTTTGCGGAAAATGTTGTTTGGGAAAAGGAACAATCTTCGGCCCAAGGGAACACAATCTGAGCAATTTCTGCAAAACACTGTGTTTTACAGCATTTTGTTGGACCTCTAATCCCTTGACATTTCAATTTCGGAACACCTAGAACCTAGAATCTGGAGATCAGAATCCTCAAAATGTCTTATGTTGGATTCTCCAAGCCTTATAATTTTGAGCTGGGAGTCCTCCAACATGAAATCCTTTCCAAAAAGGATTTTACTCCGAATTGAATTGGAATGTCGAAGGGGGCAAAATGTCGTTTGCGAAATGAGCAATCTTCGGTCCAAGGGAAAATCTGAGCAATTTCTGCAAAACACTGTGTTTTACAGCATTTTGTTGGATCTCGAACCCCTTGAAATGTCCATTTTGAAACACCTGAAACCTAGAATCTGGAAATCAAAATTCTCGAAATGTCTAATGTTGGATTCTCCAAGCCTCATAATTTGGAGCCTGGAGTCCTCCAACATATCTAAATATACATTCCTTTCCAAATGCGATTTTGCTCCGAATTGAATTTGCATATTGAATAGAATTTAGTGAGCACATAGCTCACCACCATTCAGAATTCACCATAATGTCTGTATTGAATCAGAATTTGAACAGAAATACCTTTCCAAATAAGGAAAGTAACATTTCAGTAGAGTCTAAGTATACTTTAATCAGACTGAATTCAATTGGCTGTTGAACATAAGAAATTAATCAAGAATCCATCCCCCAATGTGACTTAAATTGGAATAGAGCTTAGTCTGGAAAGAAATCACTTGGCCTTTGCAAACAAATGTTAATAGTAATTCATTCCCAAATATGATTTAGCTTACATGTGGCTAAACAAATAAAGGGCACATATCCTCAGACTCCCAAACTTGGTCTGGAGATGTATTTGTACTTTTGGGTCCGTGCAGGTTGCAGAGCTCAAAGCTGCACAAAACATCATGTGTTCAATGTTTTTCCCTGGTGTACTCAAAACCACTGTAAAAACCTGTGTTTTCAAACAAAGCCAGACTCGAATCTGAAAACGGACTCCATTCTCGTTTTGTTGCCTTTCAAGCTGAAACAAAGCAAACATTTGCTGTCATATAGAAGGTACAACACCAACAAAAACACTGTATTTTACAGTGTTTTCAGGCATCTGCAAGAACGAGGCACACGGAGTAGACTTGACACCTTCAACTAGAAGAGAGGAAAGGTAGGCCCTGGATGGGGGGGTGACCATATATATATATATATATTATACACACATGTTTATATGTGGCCCCAGGCGTTGGGGGTTGTGCTGAAAAATCGCGCCATGCGCCTGTACGTGTACACAACATCTAAAGGACAAATCTGCGGGCCATGACATTGATAAGCCTTGCGAAACGCATGCGTTTCGCATCGCTCAAATTTGCCAAGCCGCGCATCATCGCATTGCTTTGGAATCCTGGGCACAGTCGTCTGAATCTGACACTACTTATGATAACTCAGAATCGGTGGCCCAACATTTACACACCCAGATGGTCCATTTGATCTACAAGTTCTACCAAAAACAAACTAAAACACGTTGCATCATAGTGAGCTCGTTGGAGAAGTAAGCTCACCCATGAAACGAGCAGAACCAAACGAAATGCCAGCGCGCCCGGCACGAGGAGGCGAACATGCTTAATTGGGCCCTTGCCTTTCTTGTCATGGGGCAAGGAACCCTAGGGCCACCCAACTGCTTCCAAAAAGTACAAAGTTCAACTTCGGGACTGAGAGCAACGTAGCTATACCAGCAGCAAACTAGAATCTCTTAGAAGGTGGTAGCTGGACATCTTTTTGGGGGTTTATACCGAAGGGCCAAGCAAAAAAGTCAGGGGCATTGATCCAGCTTGGCCTCGTGGCTTAAACATCGGCTTGAGATGCGAAACATGGCTGCTGCTCCCCTACAAATTGACATGGCGTGCCAAAAAAGGCTCCACTTCCCAAAAGGAGACTCCGATCCGATCCTATCTGGAGTCTGTTTCTGACCTTTTCAACATGGGGTCATTCCCCCGAAACATTTTGGGTAATGAACCAGCCCGGTTTTTAAGGGTGAGAAGGAGACTCCACGGCCATATATGGGTTTGTCTCAAACCTCCCAAAATGGGTGGTGTCTCCTTATGCTTTCCGTTTAAAGCCATCCAACAAGTGTACCATCAAACAACCCAGATAAGTTTTGTCTCAAAACAGGGCTACTCCCGAAATATTCTGACTTTTCTTTTGGCTGCCCTTGGGCAAAAACCGCCTCCAGGCAAGCTTCCTCGCCTCAAGAAAAAGACCCACTGCGGCCAGACCAAAAAATCTCGGGCCAAAACCGGGAGCTCGGAGCTCGGGGAGTCGGAGCTCATTTCTCGGTTGCAAACTCTGCTCCCCGGCTAAAAGTGAATAACTTTTAGTGGTTTAGTGGAAAACCCATTCGTTGGCAAAAAGTTATTCAGTCCTAACAGCCCTTGGCAAAATGCACCAAAGATTTCGGGGTTTATGGGGATTCATTCCAGGCCCAAGGCTCCAGGCCATGTCCTTTTAGGTTGGAAATAGATGGGTTTCCCTGGTAATTAGATAAGAAAAAAACACCAGGTAAAAACCAGGAATCGAAACCCCTCTATTTTTCGAGCAAAATAACCAAAAAGGACACCTATGCTCCAGGCCATATCGCCCTGCAGTCATGTCCAAAGTGGTCAAGCTGGTAGATTCTGGGTGTGGCAGGTGATCCGGAATCCGGATTTCGCAGGGCTGTGGGTCAAACATAGCTACCCAAAATGGAAATTGAAACAAGGACTCAAACCTGCTGTCCCCTCATGGCCTGAGGTTGACCCATACCCAAATGAGTGTAAAAAGTTGGCAACCATTTTACCTCACGAGTTCCCGAAGAAAAAGCCTCTCAAGTCATCGCCCCAAGTAAGGCTGCCGAGGCGCTTATTTTTCTTCGACGGCATCTTACTTAGCCGTCAATCCGCGTTGCTTAAACTAGAGCAACAGCGGCTGCGGACGTGGAAGCTCGATCAGAGTCCATCTGACAAAGCCACTTGGAATTGTCGCTGGAAGGGTTTGCAGGCTCTCACTCTCAAGGAATGGAATGACCTCCCAGCCAGCTGTGGTATCGGATTCCTTCAGGATGCCGAAACCTGATTCGCGAGAACCTAATTAGAGATGAATCAAGTCGCAGGCCGTGTCGAAAGTACTTGGATGGTGATTTCAAAGTTTTTCCGCAGGTCAAACAGATTTCATTAGAGAAGGCTGTTTGGGAACCACCTCGGAGCTTCTCCAACATGGTGGATTCACTTTTTGGTGTTTTTCTTTGAAGGGAAACCAAAAATAGTGGAGTGATTCGGGCAGCTGATGGTTCGGCAAATTGAGATTCCGCCCATGTGCTCCCCAAGTGAACCATAGACTACCAGCATTGTCTGGTGCTCAGGTGCTGAGGCATTCTGAATTTACTGTCATCTTGGCTAGACTCAGCAAAAATACGAGCAGAACATGGGGAGTGACAAAATCCCCATGCGGAACACATTAGTATATCGACCTATCTCTATGTCTCTATGTCTGAACACGTTCCGTGATGGTATAGAAATGGACGCTGAGTGGGTGTGCCTCAAAACGGATCCCCCCTTTGGAGACGACCTAACATGAACTACAAATGCAGTTGCCGCAAAAAAAACTAAACACATGGCTCATTGACCGCACCAGCGTGCATCTCTCCGTGCTTCAGAGAAACAGCCACAACTGCGCCCCTCCTTCTGGCCCCGTCTCCAACGAGAAAAGAACAGGAACCCCCGTTTCAGGAGACCGAGACCCCAAATTTCTGAGGGCGATTGAGCCCAAGACGTCAAATTAGGCGAAACGACCCCCTGAATGTTCAAGCCACTTCAGGATGCTTTTGAAGCGACCCAAAGCCGGGTTTCTGATTGGCTTCCCTGGGCCACCAAAACAGGTACCCTCAGAGAAACTCACTTCCAACCGAGTGGATCCGCCACAAATGCCCAAACTTCTTGTTTGCCACTACCATGGAAGCCCACAAAGTGAAAGCCCATGAACTCAGGAAGTGAGCTTCCCTTGAAAAACCGCAACAGGGTACTTCCGCGTGCTTAAATGCCCCTTGGAAAAGCTTCCAGTAGCGAAATCGATTCCCCCTTAAACCAACAGGGGAAAAATATAAAATATTCATTTGGCCATGGGTCAACATCCAAATCGTGCCCGCATGAACATCCCAATCCCCACTAAAATAGGTTCTAAAATGGGTGGTGAATTCACCTACCAGCCAAAATGGGATCCCAAAACGGACCCATGGCCATTTCACACAAACGGAAGGATAGCCTCCAAACCGCATCCAGAGATACACACAATTCCCGCCTACCAGCGCGAGGAGACCCTCCCCTAGCGCGCCAAACAGCTCGTGCAGGGCCAGGACCTTGCTCGGATCGCTGGGTGTGGCTTTTGCTTTTTTTGGGGCTTAACACCCCCCAAAAATTGGGCGGGTTTTCCTGGTGTCCCTGCACAGCCAACCCCCAAACAATTGGGCCTAGGTCCAACCCAGTAGAGAGGCTAGAATAAGTTGATACCCGATTTCTTCTGTCTTGTCTGTAGTAGGGGAACCCTCCCAACCAAAAAGAAACCGTAAAAAGGGTACGGGGACCCAGGGGCGGGTTGTCCTGGTGTCCCTGTACAGCCAACAAGGGGGGGGGGTGCCCTCGAAAAGATACAAACCCTGATTTTGTTGGCCCAATTGTTTGTTTGGTAAAAGACAGCTTTGCGGTGGCAAAACTAGGTCTTTCTGAGGTGAAAACGAATTTGTTGTGAGGTATGCCACATGCTCAAGGCGCAAACCCCAATTTGTTTCAGGCAAAGTTCATTTTGTTTAGGGTGGTTCAACTATTTTTGGTTGGTGGTTTATCGCCCTGGGAGTTTGTTGGCCCGTTGTTTTTACGCGTTTTTTCTCCCTCTGGCTCTTCCATGCCAAAAGACAGCTGCCTGAGCATTGGCCCCCAGTCGCCCAGACCCAAAAAGCCGTGAGACATCTCTCCACTTCAGCCTGATCCTCAGACTGAGTCAAAATCAAAACCCGGTCTTAAAATGGTCTACCCAGAACCATGTAGAGAATTAAGAAGGCGGCCGAAACTATTTCTAGCTGGGACTGCCCCTTTCTAACCTTCATCTACCCGGGTTTTGAGTAAGTGGCTCGACTGGAGCCCCTGTTTCTGGAGCCATTGGAGTGCAAGACGCGCTTGCGAGACCCGCAAACCAGGCTCGCTTCAGCGCGGATCAGTGCCCGCGTGTTGTTTTCTTCTTCTTTGATCTCAAGCCTTGGACTCCTGCGTGTTGGGTAAAATAGACAGTTGTTGGAGGGTAAACCGCACTTTTTGTAAACCTTCGTTTTTCAAGGTTAAAGCCATTCTGTTGGTAAACCACATGTTTTTACACCCCCGTTTTTGGAGGTTAAACCTATTTTGTTGGTGTGCAACACCTTTACTTTACCTTCCTTTTGGGATAATCGCGATTTGTGGTGCGGGTAAACCACCCCATCGCTTGAGCAAACCTTTGCTTGGGGGGAGTGGTGAACCTCAGTTGGCGTGGCTTAAGCACATTGGGCAAGGGCTGTTCAATCATTGGTACCCTAAAACCAATTGACCTCATGGTAGAGGAACGTTCTTATGGAGTTGTGGTACAATGGGGGGGGCTTTCAAGCTGGGGGGAATACCGCGTGTAACTAGCCTGACAAAAAGAGACGACCACCCCACTGACCCCTTTGCACCCTCAAAAGTTGAAGCTTTCAACAAACCTTTGGGCCTCCCAAATCTGGGGTTACACCACGTACGGCTCCGTCTTTCATGGAGTCGGTACCCATTTGGTTTGACCATTTTGGGCGGGGGGGTCCATATAAGATTTGCAGATACTGTTTTACATTCACATTTGGCGACCCGGGTTGCTCAACAGGGCTCCTACTATTTCGTTGTGGAGGAGACCCAACTAAAGATTGACCAAAATGGCGAAAGATCGGAGCTCTGAATCACTTTGGGTGAAGCTCAACCGAGTTGTTCAACAGGGTTCCTGTAATTTGCATTGGCTACAAAGGGGGGTTCACCCAGTCTATTTTGAGAACCGCCCATGTTGAAAACCACCTTTATGCCCGCTACGGGTTTCTCCTGTGGTGATTTTGGGGAGTGTATCCAACAAAGGGACCCTCTTCAGAGAGGCGATTGCGAAAACATCCTCCCTTCACTAATCTTAGGAAGTGACATTCTTCTTCCACACGGACAGCAGGGACCACATTGTGATAGAACTTGACATAACCACTACCTCAATTTTTCGGGTGGATCCTTGATTACAGGAAAAAGGTAACCCTCTAACCAAACCAACCTGCAACCCAGAAACAAAAAGGGTCGAGATTCAATTTGTTGTTTTTTTGTTTACTTTGGGATTTGTTTTCTTTGTTTTCCGTCTTGGTTGGCTAGTAAAATGCTGTATGTTAAAGCATTTTCTCACGAAATGCATGTATTTTGCACTAGCCCGTCAACATCATCAGCATCTTCAACTTTCAACATCCCCCGCATATCCAGCCAACATCCTTAGCACCACCAGCAAATCGGGGGCTTCCTACATCCTCAGCATCATCAGTTCCTCTCCGACAAGGTAGGTAGCTAGGTAGGTATTTATGAAAAGCAGCGGCGGGGCCCCCTCATGATGGTAAAAGTGAGGATTCAAATACGGGTGCAATTTAATCGCGGTAAGCCGGCAGCCCCCCCCCATGATGATCGATGATCGAAAAAGTGATGATTCAATCAGGGGCAAAAAATCTAAACAGTAGCGGGGGGGGGGGGGTGGGGCGGCAGCCCCCCCCCATGATGCTCGAAAAAGTGATGATTCAATTCCGGGCAAAAAATCTAAAAAGTAGCGGGGGGGGTTGGGCGGGGCGGTTCCACCCCCATGATGTTCAAAAAAGTGATGATTCAATTAGGGTCAAAAAATCTAAAAGTAGCGGGGGGGTTGGGCGGGGCGGTTGCCCCCCCCCGATGATGATCGAAAAAGTGATGATTCAACTAGGGGCAAGAAAACTATCAAGTAGCGGGGAGGGGGGGGGGATGGGGGGGTTGGGCAGGGCGGCTGCCCCCCCATGATGTGAGAAGAAAGTCATGATTCAGTAAGTAGCGGAGGGGTTGGGGGGGCCCCCCCATGATGATCGAAAAAGTGATGATTCAATTGGGGGCGCATTGTAATCGAAAGGGGGGGGGCGGGGGGCACGAGAGAGGAACTGCTGATGCTGAGGATGCAGGAAAAAAAACCAACTGGGAAAGCAGAGGAGCCGGAAAGCCACCAAAAGCCACAAAGCCAAAAAGCCACCTGCCGGCGAGAGAGGAACCGGTAATGCAGAGGATGCGAAAAGCCAAAGCCGCAAAAGCCGCATACACCCAATAAGTAGCCGCAAAATCCAAACAAAGAGAATGCAGAGGATGCAAAATGAAAAGCCACACAAACCCACGTAAAAGCCACAAAAGCCAAAAAGCCGAAAAACCCCTCACCCTGGAAAAAAACAAACAAGAAAAAACAAATCCTTGAAAAAATGGCCCTCCAAACAAAAATATCGCTCTCTCCTCGCACTTCCTGTGTGGATTAAACCAAGGTCACTGTTTGTTCTCCCAAAAAGTTTTCACTCCAGAAACTTGGGAAGCGCGATGAAACTAGGCACCTCGCCTAAGTATATGGCACCCATAGGGTGGTTTCTTCAGCTCGTAGAAGCCCCAAACTAGAGTTTCCACGGCGCTGGAACCCTCTCAGAAGCCCAGTGGCCATGGCTCAACCTGGTTTGGTCTGACGTTCAAGGGGTCAATTCGTTCAAAGGGAGTTGAAGGAAATGAAACCATATTGGGCGTGTGGGGAGTCTCTTTCTCTCTCTCTCTCCCTCCCTCTCCATCTCCCTTTCCCTCTCCCTCTCCCTCTCCCT